CCTATGCTGTGTTGAGTATTGATTTTTTTCTGACCTACGACAAGTGCGTGAAGTATGTCCTTCTACATTACAATTTTGACATACTACTATATCTGTACTAGCAAATGTAATTTTTGCATTATTTGGCCTACAAGAATTTTCTTTTCTAAGCTCTACAACCGCATTTAATTTTCGTTCTGCCTCTAATGCTTTGTTTGTTGTTTCTTTTAAAGTTATGCAATCTGGAATTCGAATCTCTAATTCTGGACGTAGCCCTCGACGAAAACAGGATATTATATCTACTTCTAAATTTTTTAACATCGTTTCGGATAATTTACCGTCTTTACTCGATAATCTGTATGAGTCAAAAATCTGATCCGATAATTCTTTTACTCGATTCGCATACGATATGACACTTTCATTTTCCTTCATAAAAATATTTCCTAACTCTCCTTGCAATTGATAGATACTTTTATTTGGTAAATATATCTTCTTTAAATGAGCTTCCAACTCCAAAATTGTTTTAAAAATATTTCCCGATATTGATTTTCTAACTTCTCCTATTAACTTTCCACGAATTAATTTTACTAAATTTTCCTCCACTTGGGGTGAATCTGGCAACATTAATTTTGCTTCATGGCAACCTTCTATAAATGAAACTACTGGAATATTTTTTCCATCGAACACAGGCACTAATTCTAACGCGTCGCGAAGAGATACTTGTTGATTATTTGGGAGAGACATTTTTACTGATTTCTCTAATATTGAAATAAAAGATTCTTTGTTTGGTGTAGATGAATGTTTTGATTTTAGTTCAAGAAGATTATTTTCAAAAGCATTAAATGTTTGTTCACTCTCTATTTCTGTGCTAATTTTTAAAGTACTATCGTTTTCGGAAATTTTTGAATCGAATGATTGAGTTTTAATAGGGGGAGAATGAACAACTTTTGGACGAGTTTCTAAATTTCCGGCTTTAGTATGACTTCTAAGACAACGATCAGGTGTTGGGTTAAAAATGGGATCATTTTTCTCAGACATAAAGTTTAATTAGAATTTTGCATATTTGAATTAATCACAAATATTTGACTGCTTTCACTTTTGGATCGATTTTCACTTATAGAATTATCACTTGTGTTTTATGTAAGTAGGAATTAAAGGAATTTTGGACTTGTTGGTTCAAGAATTTTTTCTTCTCTCTCATAAGGTATTTAAGAAAAATATGAATTTAATTTCTTTTTCATGATCACAAGGGAAAATGCACTAAAAATTATAAATTTTAAATTTATATTCTCTTTCTTGTTCACAGTGGTCGATGCATCAAAAATTATATTTTGAGTGCATAAATTTTTAAATTTATATTCTCTTTCCTGTTCACAGCGGCCGATGCACCAAAAATTATATTTCCTCTGTTACGTCTCAAAAATAAGAAATAACTTTAGAAATAATATTTTATTTTATTTATGGCCGCTCGGTGATTCAGTAAATTCCTGTTTCATTTACAGAGCAGAAGGCTCTGAGCTAAGGGTACAGGAAAGAAAGAGAATAGAGATTTTTAATGTTAATGTTATACTTTATTTATGACAAACACTTAAGAGAAATTTTGTTCTTATGAGAGAGAGAATCTCGAAGCAACCAATCCAAGGAAAAGAGTTCAGCATTCCACTGAAACAAGGAATCCAAGGGTTACTTCAGAGTTACGAGAAATGTAGGAAAATTGGGGTGAAAATATAAAAACACTTACCTTTAAAATTAGAAGTAGATGTATGAATAGGACACTGCGGTGTCTTCTGTTTAGGCAGGATAAAAGGCTGGTGCCAGAAAGATTTATATGCCTCAGGAAGGTTGACGGGCCTAGGTAATGACCACAGGTCCGGAGTTCGGAATTGCCGTGACGAAGACCCACAATGAGATTCCTCCACAAAAAGGAAAGATGGTTATTTTCCAATTATATGGAAAATTACAGGTCCTTAGGTAGATGAGTACTCCTTTTGTGTAGAATTTTACGGGACTTGACTAGAATTTACTCGTTATAGAAATCGTCCAAATGACTAGATTCCGTAATAAGCACTATGAACTGGCACTGATATCCAAAAAATGACGAGTAGAAATAACGTAGATGAGGTGAAGTTTCGAACTGACGGTATCGGTGGTAATTTCTGAACTGAACTCTCCGTAAAAAAGTAGCCCTTTTATATCAAGTTTTTCATAAGGGAGACTATATGATTCCATTGGCTTGCATTGCTAAGACTATCTCTTTCTTTTTTATTATCCACAACGAGGGTTTTTGTGATTAAATTACAGAATTTAGAAAGAGCACACCACTGCGATGAAATCGCAGGTGTAAGCGAGAAACACTACAGGGGTGGTATATCTGATTATATTATAGAATTTAGAAAGAGAAAGTCTACGTGGTGAATCGTAGCTGTTAGAAAGGGACACTCATTTATGCCCTTTTAAGGTAATACTGAGTTTCTCGCTTCTAATTGTATATTTTTAGAAATACAATATGTGAACGTAGAACGATACAAAACGCAAGGGTCTTTATACATAAAAGAAAAGATGTTTGGCCACGCGACAAAGGGGCGGGAGTTTACAATTAAGTGAAAGGTATTTTAGATGCGTAACAAAAACACGGGTGTTAGTCGCAGACATTCAGCTTAGTATTGATTTAAAAAAAAAAAAAGAATTCTTACAATTTTGAATATAAAAGTTACGGTGACGTGACACTGCAAAAAAAAAAAAAAAATTAGAAGTCAGTAAAACTTTTTAAATTCAAAAATATTGTTTATTTTGTTAATCTTTTGTATAAAAAAATTGTTAATTTGTTAAAAAAAGTAATTTTTCTTTTAAATTTTATTTTTTTTTAAAATTGTTATATATATTTATTTTTTTTTAACAAAAAAAGTTGAGCAAATTGACAAAAAATTCGACTTGTTTTCTAATTTTGCAATATTCAATGATGTAAGAAATTAAAAAGAAAAATGTATTTACTCTGAAAATTGAAATGTCAAGAAGAAATTTTACACTTGAATGATTTAATCATTATATTAATGCTTTAGATTCTGATTTCTAAATGACATTTATTATTCACTCAAAAAATAGGGAAATGAAAGATAAAAAAAATACTTTTTGAAAAAAGTAATTTCTACTAAACAATACTTTTTAAAAAAGTAATTTCCACTAAAAAATACGTTTAGAAAAAGGTAATTTTTACTTAAAAATATATTTAAAAAAAATTAATTTCTACTCAAAAATACTTTTCCATTCAAAAAATACTTTCTATCAAAAAATGTTTTTTACTTAAAATTACTTTTTTTTCAAAAATACTATAATTTCAAAAAAAAAAAATTTACAAAAATACATTACATTGAAAAATACTGTTTGGATAAGAAAAAATTTTTTCTCAACAATACTTTTTTATCGAAAAATACTTTTTACAAAAAATATTTTGATAAAAAAAATATTGGTAGGTACATTTTTAGGTGACGTCAAAAAAAAAAAAAAAAAAAAAAAAAAAAATTGGGTCAGAAGAATAATATTGAGATTTAAAAATTTATATTTGCAAATTCTTACTGTGTCAGAAGACAAAGATTATATTCTTTAAATATTTGTATTAATTGATAAAGCAAAAAATTACTTCCCGTGTGAATATAATAATCGCATAATTATTAGAGATTTAATGAATGAGAATTATTTTTTATTTAGAAATTATTTTTCGAATAATTAAATTCTCTAATTAATTATTATTATTATTATTATTATTATTATTATTATTATTAAAATGGTATTATTATTAGTCATTATTATTATTATTACAAACGGATTAAATTTTTGTTTAAATACATAGTTAATTAAAAATAGGAAAAAAATAAATGTAATTTTATTAGCTAAAAATACTTTTAGTCAAAAAATACTTTTGGCCCAAAATATTAGTAACCAAAAATACTTTTAGTCAAAAATATTAGTAACTAAAAATACTTTTAGTCAAAAATATCAGTAGCCAAAAATACTTTTAGTCAAAATTATTTCTGGCCAAAAATATTAGTTAAAAATACTTTTAGTCAATAATTCTTTTAGCTAAAAATACTTTCAGTCAAAAATACTTTTAGTCAAAAAGTATTATTAGCCCAAAAATACTTTTAGTCAAAAAGTATTATTAGCCCAAAAATACTTTTAGTCAAAAAGTATTATTAGCCCAAAAATACTTTTAGTCAAAAATACTTTTAGTCAGAAATATTAGTAACCAAAAATACTTTTAGTCAAAATTACTTCTGGCCAAAAATATTAGTTAAAAATACTTTTAGTCAATAATTTATTTAGCTAAAAATACTTTTAGTCAAAAAGTATTATTATCCAAAAATACTTTTAGTCAAAAAGTATTATTAGCCAAAAATACTTTTAGTCAAAAATACTTTTAGTCAGAAATATTCGTAACCAAAAATACTTTTAGTCACAAATATTATTAGCCAAAAATACTTTTAGTCAAAAAGTATTATGAGCCAAAAATACTTTTAGCTAATAATACTTTTAGTCAAAAATACTTTTAGTCAAAAATACTTTCAGCTAAAAATATTATTAACCAAATATACTTTTATTCAGAAATATTTCTTTAGCCAAAAATACTTTTTACTTCAAAATATTTTAGCTAAAAAATACTAATTATTCGAAAAGAATTTAATTAATTATAATAATTTTAATAATTTTTTATATCAATATTAGTCATTATTTTTTAATTATTATTACAACGGTTAATTAATTTTTTTTTAATTTAGTTTAATTATTTCTAAAAATTCACTTTCTTTTTGTAAAAAATATAAAAAATTTTAATTTTATTCCTTATCAAAAAAAAAAAAAATAATAATAATAATAAAAAATTTAATGACGACTTTTAAATGATTAAAAAAATATTTCTTGTTCATATACGTCAAACTCTATAGATATATATTTTTTCCAGAATTTTTTTTCTTTATTATTTTATGTTTATTAAGTAAGTAATTAATTTCTAATTGTCTTCTTAATAGGTGAGGAGCAAAAGAAGAGTTTCGAGAAAAAATGGTGATAAAAAAACTAAAATTCTGGTGGAAACTTTTTCGAACTGAAGACTCGAAAGGTGTAAGGAGAATTTTAATTATTATTAATAATAATTTATAAGTCAATAACAATAATAATAATAATAATAATAATAATAATAATTTTTATCGTTAAAAAAATAATTAAAACAATTTTTTTTCATTTTTAATTTTCATTATTATCATTTTATTATTTTATATTTAATAAAAAAAATTTTGTATTTAAAATTTTTTATTTTTATAAAAAAAAGTAATTTTATTAATAAAATAAAAAAAATGTTTTTTGCTTGAAAAAAAAAAATAATTTAAAATTTTTTCTCCTTTTCAATTTTTATTATTATTATTTTATATTTTATAAAAAAAATTATATATTTAAAATTTTTTATTTTTATAAAAAAGAAAAAGTAATTTTATTAATAAAACAAAATAATAATTTTTTTTCCTTAATTTTAAAATAAAATTTTTTTGTAAAAAGTGAAACGAGTTTTATTTTGGTAGAAACAGAAATTATGTTAATTGAGTAGAAAGAGAGAAAGAGTGAAATTGGTGTATAAAATAAAAATTATGAATGAGATAAAAATATAAATAAAAATAAAAAAAAAAAACAAGAGAAACGAAAACCAATCAATGTTTTTTTGAGAGAGTGAATGGCAAACGATCAAACCAATCGATTTTAATCGTTCGATAAGAGGAGAGTATTATAAATGAAGTGAATATTTCTCTTCGTCAGACAAATATTATCCATTATACAAATTTTAATTTGCAATTTGCAACAAACTTTGTCCTTCAAAATATTGAATATATATATATATATATATATATATATATACATGGAAAAGGGAAACGATTGTTACAGAAGAAACGATGGACAAAGATAATTGTCGACCACACAGCATAAATTAAACAAAACTTTATAGAAAAACGTTTAACTCTCCTCTCTCTCTCTCTCTCTCTCTTTTTCTCGAGATCGATCAATCGATCAATATGACCTTGGGATAACGAGAATTAAAAAAAAATTTTTTTTTTAAATACTATCAAAGTTGAATAACGGTTTTTCTTTTTCTCTCTCTTTCTCTTCTTTAACTAATTTTTTAAAAAGATAATATTTACAAGTATTTTTAGTCAAAAATATTTTTAGCTAAAAATTATTAGTAGCCAAAAATACTTTTAGTCAAAAATATTATCCAAAAATACTTTTAGTGAAAAAATATTTTTAGCCGAAAATATTAGTAGCTCAAAAATACTTTTAGCCAAAAATACTATTAGTCAAAAAATACTTTAAGTCAAAAATACTTTCAGTCAAAAATACTATTATCCAAAAATATTAGTAGCCAAAATTACTTTTGGCAAAAAATATTAGTAACCAAAAATACTTTTATTTAAAATTACTTTTAGTAGAATAATACTTTAAGCTAAAAATATTAGTAGCTTAAAAATACTTTTAGTCAAAAATACTTTCAGTCATAAATACTATTAGCCAAAATTACTTTTAGCCAAAAATACTATTAGTCAAAAAATACTTTTAGCCAAAAATACTTTCAGTCAAAAATACTATTATCCAAAAATACTTTTAGTTAAAAATACGTTTAGCCAAAAATATTATCCAAAAATACTTTTAGTGAAAAATTACTTTTAGCCAAAAATATTAGTGGACAAAAATATTAGTAGCCCAAAAATACTTTTAGCCAAAAATACAATTAGGCAAAAATACTTTCAGTCATAAATACTATTATCTAAAAATACTATTATTCAAAAAATACTTTAAGCCAAAAATACTTTCAGTCAAAAATACTATTATCCAAAAATATTAGTAGCCAAAATTACTTTTGGCAAAAAATATTAGTAACCAAAAATACTTTCATTTAAAATTACTTTTAGTAGAAAAATACTTTAAGCTAAAAATATTAGTAGCTTAAAAATACTTTTAGTCAAAAATACTTTCAGTCATAAATACTATTAGCCAAAATTACTTTTAGCCAAAAATACTATTAGTCAAAAAATACTTTAAGCCAAAAATACTTTCAGTCAAAAATACTATTATCCAAAAATACTTTTAGTCAAAAATTCGTTTAGCCAAAAATACTTTTAGTGAAAAAATACTTTTAGCCAAAAATATTAGTAGCCCAAAAATACTTTTAGCCAAAAATACTATTAGTCAAAAAATACTTTTAGCCAAAAATACTTTCAGTCAAAAATACTATTATTCAAAAATATTAGTAGCCAAAAATACTTTTATTCAAAATTACTTTCAGTCAAAAAATACTTTAAGCTAAAAATATTAGTAGCCTAAAAATACTTTTAGTCAAAAATATAATTAGGCAAAAATACTTTCAGTCATAAATACTATTAGACAAAAATACTTTTAGCCAAAAATACTTTCAGTCTAAAATGCTATTATCCAAAAATATAAGTAGACAAATTTACTTTTGGCCAAAAATATTAATTGCCAAAAATACTTTTTTTCTAAAAAATGCTAATTACTCAAAAATACTGTTGGCTGAAAAATACTAATTACTTAAAAAATACTTTTGGCTTAAAAAATACTAATTACACGAAAATAATTTTGGCTTAAAATTACTCTGTCTAAAAAAATACTTTTTAACTAGAAAATATAAAAAAAAAATTTTTCCTTTTTTGCACAAAAGATAATTGCTGGACTGGCAGCGCACTCGGGACAAATTTCCGTGGGTCTATCGCAGGGATTTAGTGCAATTTTAATACCAAAATTATTGGACACAAATTTTGCCACTGTATCAGAATGTTCATGGATTGCGTCATTGGGTGTTATTTCAAATCCAGTTGGCGCATTATTTGCTGGGGTTATGGCTGAATTTTTCGGTAGAAGATCAGCAATTGCATTGGCAACATTGCCACATATTGCCGGTTGGTTAATTATTGCATTCTCCACAAATGTGCCATTATTGTACGCAGGCCGAATTGTCAGTGGAATTGGCACTGGAATGGCAAATGGACTTTATCTCTACGTTAGTGAGGTTTGTATAATTTGCAAAAAAAAAAAAAAATACCAAATCAAATGGAATTTGGAAAAAGTATTTTCTGTGAAAAAATAGAAAAGTATTTTTTTTGAAAAAAATAAAAAGTATTTTTTTAAAACAGGAAAAAATATTTTTTAACAAAAAAATATTTTTAAATAGAAAATAATTTGGCACAAAATATAAATTTTACTAAAATAATACTTTTTTAAACTAAAAAAAAATTTTGTATTACAATAAACTAAATTTTATTTAAAAAAAAATACTTTCTACAATCAAAAAAATATTTTTACTAAAAATAAATTGTAGTGAAAAAAAATACTTTTAACTAAAAATATTTCGAAATAAATTCTTTTTTGTTAAAAATAATTCTCACTAAAATTATTTTCTGCTAAAATTTATTTTTACTAAAAACACTTTTTGATAAAATCCTTTCTTACTGAAAGTACTTTTTACTAAAAGAAAATACTTTACGCCAAAAATTCTATTTACAAAAAAATATTTTTTTCCAAAAATATTTTTTACTAAAAGAAAATAGTTTTAGCCAAAGATACTTTTGCTTAAAAATATTTTTAGCCAAAAATACTTTTACTTAAAAATACTTTTAGCCACAAATACTTTAAGCCACAAATAGTAATAACTAAAAATACTTTTAGTCAAAAAAATACATTTAGCCCAAAATAATAGTAGTCAAAAATACTTTTAATCAAAAAATACTTTTTGCCAAAAATACTTTTAGTAAAAAAAATACATTTAGCCCAAAATATTAGTAGTCAAAAATACTTTTTGCCAAAAATACTTTTTTTTGAAAAAATACTTTTTGCCAAAAATACTTTTAGTAAAAAAATACATTTAGCCCAAAATAATAGTAGTCAAAAATACTTTTAATCAAAAAATACTTTTTGCCAAAAATACTTTTAGTAAAAAAAATACAATCAGCCCAAAATATTAGTAGTCAAAAATACTTTTAGTCAAAAAAATACTTTTTGCCAAAAATACTTTTAGTCAAAAAATATTTTTTGCCAAAAATACTTTTAGTCAAAAAAATACTCTTTGACAAAAATACTTGTTTCTAAAATAGAGTTGGGATAAAAATATTTTTTTTTTGTTTTTTTAGGGAATAATTTTTGCAAAAAAATAAATAGTTTTTCGCTAAAAATACTTTTTTGTATTAAAAAAAATTTTTTCTTAACAGGTTGCTGCACCACATCAACGAGCCTGGCTTGCCAGTTTAGGGCCAGTTATGGTTTCTTTTGGTGTATTAATAGCTTATAGTTTAGGGGCCATGACATCATGGCAAAATACAGCAGCCATTAGTGTTGCCCCAGCAATTTTTTCATTAGCTTTAACCAGGTAAATTCCTAATTAATTGTCTTTATATATATATATATATATATATATATATATATATATATATATATATATAAATATATAAATATATATATAAAATATATATTTAATTAATAATATTAAATTTTTTTAAACAAATTAAAAAATTTTTTTTATTTAATTAATAAAATTTTTAAAGGCTAAAATTTTTTTTTTTCTTTTACAGAATTTTGCCCGAAACACCAGCATGGTTAGCGGCAAGGGGTCGAATTGAAGAGGCAAAAGATGCACTTTTATGGCTACGTGGTCCCGGTTTATCAACAGACATTGAACATAATGAATTATCGGCGTCATTAAATTCAAAATTGGAATTGAATGAAAAAAATCTTTTCAATTCAAAGGGGGAATATTCAAAAATTTGGAAACCATTTTTAATATTATTCTTATTTTTTGCGATACAACAATTTTGTGGAATTTATATTATATTATTTTACGCTGTCTCAGTACTCAAGGATATTGGCGTTAGTATTGATGAATATTTAGGTAGTGTGGGAATTGGCGCTGTACGTTTATTGGCGTCAATTGTTGGCGCTGCATTGTCACGAAATTTAGGACGTAAAACATTGGCATCAATTAGTGGTCTTGGAATGGCGGTTTCTGCACTTGGTGTTGCCTTATCAGTGAGGTGAGTTAGGGTAGCGGCAGAAGGGAGGGGGGGGGGTGAAAAAAAAATTGGTCACGCCACTAGGGACACCCATCATTATTACTCGCCAAGCGTTACGTTGCTTAACCCGCACAATTAAAAAAAAAAAAAATTTTTGTCATAGTAAAGCAAAATAATTCAAAGAATAATGATTTTACCACAAAATACTTTTTTCCTAAATACTTTTTCAATAAAAAATACTTTTTTCCTAAATACTTTTTCAATAAAAAAAATACTTTTTTTTCTAAATACTTTTTCAATAAAAAATACTTTTCTCAATAAAAAATACTTTTTTCCTAAATACTTTTTCAATAAAAAAAATACTTTTTTTCCTAAATACTTTTTCAATAAAAAATACTTTTTTGCACGAAACTTTTTAGTAAAAAATACTTTTTAAAACTTAAATTTTTATAGTGAAAGAAACTTTTCATCCAAAAAATTTCTATTCTCGAAAAAAATCTATTTTGTGCTAAAATACTTTATTCGCAAAAATATTTTTTACCCTAAAATACTATAATAAAAAGAAAAAATACATTTATCTAAAAATTTAGCAACAAAAAATGTAGTAACGCCATTTGGGACACCATCCCGATTACTAGCCAAGCGTCACGTTGCTTAACCCGCACGATTTCAAAAAAAAATTCCGCTCAACACGAATAATAATTTATTATTCACGTTATTAAATTTATTAACAAATTAATTACTAAATTAGTTATCAAAATTAATAACCAAATTAGTTGTAAAATTATTTAATTTGCATTAATTTTTTTTATTTTTATAATTAATTTTAATTATTTTGTAATTAAAAATTAATTAATTTTTATTTCAATGAAACGAAATTAATTAATTTAAAAAAAAAGTGTTTTATCAAAATAAAAATATTTATAATCATGTATAGAAAAAAAAAATTTATTTTTTTATGTATCTATAATAGATTTGAAATACCTTCATTGCTGCCATTGACTTGTGTTGCGAGCCACGTGGGATTTTCAATGATTGGATATTTAACCTTGCCATGGGTAATGACCTCGGAACTTTATCCATTACGATTAAGGGGAATTTTCGGTGGACTAACGACAAGTATTGCACAAATTTTGACATTTGCCGCTGTCAAAACATATCCCGATGTTAATTCATTTCTTGGTCTTGAATCGACAATGTGGACATTTAGCGCCGCTGGTTTACTAGGTAAAAAAAAGGAACAAAAATTTTTTATTTTAACAAAATAGACAAAAAAAAATATTTAAAACAAAAAATTATATATTAATTTTTTTTATCTATTATTTAAATAAAATTAAAAAAATGCCCCACGTTTTTTAAAAATTATTTTTGAAATTTAAATTTAATTTAAAATTTAAAAAATTGAATTTTCCCGCGTTAAAAATTTTTTTTTTAAAATTAATAATTAAAAAAAAAATTAATATCCCGCGTTTTTAATTTTTTTAAAAATTAAATTAAAAAATTTTAATTATCCCGCGTTTTTTTATTTTTATGCAGATTTCTCGATTATCGACTGTTAATATATTCAACAAAAAAAAAACGGCAAAATTTTAGGGTTAGTTCACAATTCCAACAGGGTTGGGAAACTTAATCGGATAAAAAAAGTGAAAATAAAAATGAATTCGATTAAATATTTTTAAAAAATAAAATAATTATAATTTAAAATTAAAAAAAAAATTTTTTGGTTAATATTAAATTGTTTCAATTTAATTAAGTATAGGTTATGTTAAAAATTTCAACAACAAAAAATTCAATTCTCACAGGTGCTGTTTTTGCAATGACAATTCTTCCCGAAACACGTGGTCGTAGCTTGGATCAAATAGAAACTGGTTTCACTAGTGGCCCATCAAAATTAAAATCATCAATTGTCATTGAGCCAAAAAATGTGACGCTGAAAAATTTTAAAAATATGTCAGAAGACAAATATCCAAATATGATTGCAAATGTCTATGCATATGACAATTTTTCACTCGATTTAACCCTCGATAATGATGTGGAGAAAAATTTTCAATCTAAAAATATTTATCAAAATAATAATGTTCCAAGACTTGAAATTAGTTGTATACCAGTTGAAAAATTGTATCTCTAAAAATTTTTTTTTCAATTTCAAAAATTACATCTATTTACGAGTTTACGTAATTTTACGTAAATTTGCGCATGTCTACGAACTTTTACGTAAATTTACGTATATACACAAACTTGCGTGATTTACGTATATTTACGATCTTACGTAAAAATTACGTATATCTGCCAACTTACGCAAAACGTCTATTTACTATTTTACGTAAAATTACGTAATTTGAAATAATACGTAATTTTACGATCTTGTGTAAAAATAAAACGTATATTTACGTTTTTACGTAAAATTACGCATACATACGATAATACGTGTATTTCCTGCAAACGGTAGGTATTTAAGTAAATTTAACACATTTAAGTAAACATGCGTAAGTTTACATAGTTACGTAAGATTACGTTACTACGAAAATAAAAGTTTACGAATTTATATAATGTTTATATGTAAATAAATTTTTTGTAAATATGTACAGTATATAATATAAAAAAAAACAAATTCGTTAAATTTTGACTGAATTAGTCAATTAAAATATTATATAATATTTACATTAAAATATCGATAGTTTTAGTTAAAATATCGATTTTTTTATTATTAATTGTTATATCGATATTTTTAATCGATATATTTTAAATATTTATATATTTGACTTTTTTTATGACGATTTTAATTTAGCGATAGATTGATTTAAAAGTATCGATCCTACAAACGAGACATCGATATGAAACTTATCGATATATCGATATATCCTCCGAGATATCGATAATAGAAGAATCGATTTATCGTTCAGAATATCGATATATTGTTTACGAAAACTATAATTTTTATATCGATCAATCATTTGAAATATCGATATATCGATAATATTGAAATCGATATATCATTTGCAATATCGACAATTTTTATATCGATATATAATTTACAATAATATATATCCTTCGAGTTATCGATAATTAGAAATCGATTAATCGTTCAGAAAATCGATATATCATTTGCAATATCGATACATCGATATAAAAATTATTTATATTGCAAACGATATATTAATTATTTTTTATCGATATTCTGAACGATTAATCGATCCGTAATTATCGATTTCTCGAAGGATATATCGATATTACAAACGATATAAAAATTATAGTTATATCGATATTGCAAACGATATATCTATATAAAAATTATCGATGTATTGATGTTGCAAATGATATAACGATATAAAAATTATCGATTTTAAATCGATATATCGATTTTTTATTATCGATATCTTGGAGGATATATCGATATATTACAAACGATACATCGATATTGCAAATATTAAATCGATATGAAAAATATCGATTTCACAATCGATATTCAGAACGAGAAATCGATTTTTAATTTATCGATATATAAAAATTATCGATATTGCAACTGATGTATCGAAATCAAAATTTTCAAAATTGCAGACAATATATCGATTATCGATATGTCGGGAGTAAATTAGCGTTTTTTTGTAATTTTTGCGATATATCGCAAAAAAAAAAAAAAATATTGATATGTATATTCTTTTTTTTTGTTGTAGATTGAATGAGTTTCTTGAATATTTTTTTTAAATGCGTGACAGAAAATAAAGTATGTGATTTTATTTATAAAAAAAAATAAACAAATATTTATTAGAAAATCCTTCTCCCTATTTTAAAGAAAAACAAAAAAAAAAAAAAAAACCTTTTACACATGTATGAAAAAAGGAAAAATTTTATCTTCAGTTTTTTTGTTTTTTTATTTCTTTTTATTATTTTGCGAAAATAAAAACGATAATTTAAGAAAATTCTCAAACAAAAATTAATAAAATTTCATTATATATATATATATTTATATTATTTCTATTTTATGAAAATCGAAGAAAAATTTACTTTTAAAAATTCGATTATCTATATCTCTCTCTTGCTCTCATTCTCCCTTTCTCTCTTTCTTATAAATAGCATTAGGACAATATTTTATTTTAATTTGACGAAAATTTTTATTTTATTTTATTTATTTATTTTTTTTTTTTGCTTTTTCTAAAATTGAGTAAATTTTTAATTGAGTATTTCTATTGTAAATATTTTTTGTTTTCTTTATTATTTTATCTATAGATATATTCCATAATTTTCAGCGTATTTGCTTATTTTAAAAAATTTTTGTTTTTGCTCTATTTTTTAAAAATCAATAAGTTTAAAATTTGTGAATTTTTTTTTTTTTTTTTAATGTTACTTTTCTAAGAGAGCAAATTTTGTTTTTCGCTTTCTATTTATTTAATTGTTTTCTTTCTATGTAATTTTAATTTACTTGAGTAGGCGATCAAGTTTTTAGTTTTTACTAAAAAAAAAAACAAAACATTTTCTCAAATAAATAGGCTCTATTTTTCCACTATTCGATGACTAAGTTTTATATTATTATTATTATTATTATTATTATTATTATTATTAGTTAAAAACTATTTTTGCAAAAAAAAAAGAAAATATTCTTTAAAAATGCAGCGAACTTTGTACCATTTTGTATATATATATGTATATATATTATATATACATAGTTTTAATTATTATTATTTTCTTTTTTTTTCCTTTTAAGTCTTCACTGTATTAGAGAGTATCGAGTTTAAAGAGTCTTTCATTTACTATAATTAATAAATTTAAAATCAATGATTAAAATTTCTTGTTAATTTTTTACATTAAATAAATAAATAAAAAATTTTCTAATTAATAAAAATTTAACTTTCCGTTAATTAGTACTGAAATTTTTTTTTTTTTCTGTTAAATTAAAAAACAAAAATTTTTTTTCTTTTTTTTTTGTGGTAAAACTTGTGAATTTAAATTTGAAAATTAATTTTTAAGAATCAAATTTTTTTCGCGCTTTTAAAAATTGTTTTTTTTTTTTTTTTTTTTTAATTTTCATTGATTAAAAATTTTTTTTTATCGAGTATTTACAATAATTATTATTATTAAAATCTGGCAGTCGAGCAAATTTTTACTTTTCATTTCATTTTTTTTTCACAAATATTTCTATCGTGACATACTGGCTTTGAGAAAAAAAAGCAAAAAATTAAAATAAAAAAAAAAAAAATCCCCACTTTATTCTCACTATTATTGACTATTAAAAATAAATAATAATAATAAAAATAATATAATATAATAATTATTATATATATATTTTTTTTTATTTTGCTTATGTTTAAACAATTTTTTTAAACATCAAAAAAATATAATTATTTTAATAATAATATGATAATAATTATTATATTAATAATTATAATGTTTTTTTATTTTGTTTATGTTTAAAAAAAATTGTTTGAACGTAAAAAATATTATAATTATAATATTAATGATAATAATAAACAATAAAAAAATTAAAAAATAAATAAGTTTCTAGAAATTCACTATATTTTTTTAAAAATAATTTGAAATATTTTAAAAAGCTTTCAAACATATAAAAATTTCTAAAAAGAAAAAAAAAATTTTTTTTCCCCCAAAAAGTTGTTGTAAAACATTGAGTTGTTTTTTTTTGTTTTATAAACGCATTAAAAAATCACTATGTTAACGATTCGTAAAAATCGACAATTTTTATACAAATAAAAGATTGAATTTCATTCAATCGAAAAAAATTCTATTCCTTTTCAAAAAAAGAACAAATATTTTTAAATAAAATAATAAATAAATAAATAAATAAAAAAATAATAATATTCTCACCTCAAATAAATATCGAAATAAATATTGATATTTGGGACTTCCGGCTTTTTGACATATTTCCAACAAAAAAAAAAAAAATAATTCTCCCTCCATTCGTAGGGAAGATAAAAAAAAAATAGTAATTAATTTTTTTTTTTTTCTAAAAACTCTTGCGTTTTTTCGATTCATTAATTTCTTTTAATCGCGGTTGTAAAAGTTCTATACACTCCTCGTGACCTCTTGCGCGTGCAAATGAAAATGGTGTTTTTCCATTGTCATCGCGAATTTGTACATCTTTATAGACACCAAGCAGCCAACGTAAAATATGATGATGTCCATGATACGCCTTTAACAAAAAAAAATATATTTTATTTTAATAAAAAATTGATAAAATTAAAAAAAAAAAATAAAATAAATACTCACCGCCAGATGTAATGGTGTCAGCGAAGGATTAAATAAAGCATCGCGTAAAAAATCATCATTTGGATTGTAATTATGAATACTTTGCCAAATAATATTTAATGTATTAATATTCCCACCAACAGTCGCATAGTGAAGCGTTGAAAAATTATTTTTATCCCTTTTTAATGGATCCGCTTTATGCTCAAGTAAATATTGAACGCAACTTTGCATCTTGCAATTTCCCTCTAGTCTGAAGAAAAAACGTTTTTTTTAAAAAATATATTTAAATAAATAAATATATAATTTAATAATTAATAATTCAAAAAATTAATTTTATTTAGAAATTTATTAATTTTATAAATCAATAATTTAAAAATTAAGCTCTTTTTAGAAATTAATAATAATAATAATAATAATAATAATGAAAACGTACTGATTACAAGAAGCCGCGGCTGCAAAATGTAATGGAGTGACACCTTTGACATCAATTGCATTAGGATTACTGCCGAAACTAACAAGAGTGAAAATACAAAGATAGTGCTCTTGACTTGCGGCATAGTGCAACGGTAATCGACCCTCATTGTCCATTGAGCGAAAATTCGATCCACTCGATAGCAAAAGATCCAGACAATTCACCGAACCCTTAAAATTATTATTTAATATTTAAATATTTATTATTTAATTATTATTATAATGTTTCTGTCTTAAAAAAAGGAAAAAAAAATATGCTAAAAGTATATGTTTTCATTAATCAAAAACGAAAGTTAGAAGTTCAAAGGCTTTTTTTGGAATTTAAAAAAGTATTTGTTTTTATACGAAATTTGTGTTTTCTTTTGTTTTTGCCAAATATGTTTTCATTAATCAAGAACGAAAGTTAGAAGTTTGAAGGGTTTTTTTTATCGTTAATTTTCATCTTTTTTTGTGCCAAGTATGTTTTCATTAATCAAGAACGAAAGTTAGAAGCTCGAAGGCTTTTTTTGTCGTAAATTTTCTTCTTTTTTTCTGCCAAATATGTTTTCATTAATCAAGAACGAAAGTTAGAAGCTCGAAGGCTTTTTTTTGTCGTAAACGAAATTTGTGTTTTCTTATTTTGCCAAATATGTTTTCATTAATCAAGAACCAAAGTTAGAAGCTCGAAGGCTTTTTTTGTCGTAAACGAAATTTGTGTTTTCTTATTTTGCCAAATATGTTTTCATTAATCAAGAACGAAAGTTAGAAGCTCGAAGGCTTTTTTTGTCGTAAATTTTCTTCTTTTTTTTCTGCCAAATATGTTTTCATTAATCAAGAACGAAAGTTAGAAGCTCGAAGGCTTTTTTTTGTCGTAAACGAAATTTGTGTTTTCTTATTTTGCCAAATATGTTTTCATTAATCAAGAACCAAAGTTAGAAGCTCGAAGGCTTTTTTTGTCGTAAATTTTCTTTTGTTTTTTGTTTCGTAGAAACGAAATTTGAATTTTTCTTATTTTGCCAAATATGTTTTTCATTAATCAAGAACCGAAAGTTAGAAGTTCAACGGCTTTTTTTCCACATTAAACTAATCTTCATACCTACAACAAAATAAAAATCAAAAATTATACAACAATTACCTTGAAGGCTGCTAAATGCAAAGGTGTTCTTCCATTATTATCCCTTGAATCAATGTGTCCCATATCTGCCTGCAATAATTTTCTACAAACCTGAAAATAAATATTCGTTTAATTTCAAAAATTTAATTATTAAATATATTAATATAATTGATTAAATAAATAATTTTTGAAATTGTCAATAAAAAGAAAATAATTTTTTTTTCATTCTCACTTCGACACGATTTTTTAGACAACTAAAATGCAAAGGCGTCTGTCCTAGAGAATTTTTCGTTAAAGGCGATGCTCCATTCTCTAAAAGTTCCATTGTTAAACACTCGTGTCCGTACCTTAAAAAATAATTTATTACCTTCTTACTAAAACCTTACATTATCTTCTTTATATTCCTTATTATTAATTTATTTACATCAAGAATCTTTAAAAAAAAAAAACCACTAAACATTCTATTCGAAAATTTATATCTTTTGGGTCGCAAAATAGAGTCAAAAATTACAATTATTATTAATATTATTATTTACTTTTAAGAAGTGAATATTTAATTTAATTATTAAATAATTAATTAATTATATTTAATGGAATAAATTTCTTACCAAGCAGCAAAATGAAGAGCAGTATTTCCCTTATTGTCCTGTGTCTCAACAGAAGCACCAGCGTCAAGTAATTGTTTTGAGAGTGTGAATCTACCGTGAATTGCCGTCATATGCAATGGTGTACGTCCAATTGCCGATCGAGCATTAATTTGCGCTTCCGAATGAAGAAGAATTTCAAAACAATCAACACTCTCTGAACTTGCACACGCTATATGCAATGGTGTGTGTCCCTGAGAATTTCTTGCGTCTTAAAAAAAAAAGAATAATTCTATTTCATTTTAAAAATTGTTTGTTTTTCAAATTAAATAATTATTAAATAAAATTACTATTAATTAAATTAAATAATTCATAATTACTAAACAAGTTAAATAATAAAATTAATTCATATAAGATAGGAAAAAACCGTTTCTAGTCTAGAAAATAAAATAATACCTTGATACATAAATTAATTAATGAAAAATAAATTGTGTAAATTATTAAATGTGATGATTAATAATTTTTTTTTTACTTACCAACAGACGCTCCGCTATTAATTAATTCCGTGATTGAATTTGGCTGAGCGTTGAGACACGCGACATGTAACGGCGAATTTCCATTAAGTGTTCGTGCCTCAATATTTGCTCTCGCTTCTAACAATAATCGAATACATTTCACTCTTCCAGAAGCAACGGCCGCATGTAATGGTGTATATAAATCTTGATCCTGAAAAAATTATTATTAATTTCAATTTATTAATTATTAATTAATAATAATTATTATTAGTATCCTTATTTATTTACACAATTTATAATAATATAATATTATTATTAATATTACACGAATAAAATTTATAAAATTATTTTTATTATTAAATCTGTGCTGAATTTGTGATTTTTAAGTAAATTTTAAATTAAATTAAATAATTATTAATAAATATAAATCAGGGTGTCTAACAACTGTTAGAAAAAAAATTCCCTGACTTAAATTACACTAAAATATTTTTATTTTGATACAATTAAATCATTTAACTGTCTATTATCCACTAATTTCATATGTATATGAAACCAAATAAATAATGTTTCGTAAAAAATAAAATATTTGAGTGAAATAAATAAACCAATTGGGAAAGTATAAATATTTTCAACATTTAATTTAAAAAAAGTTTTACGGCGTTAAATCTTAAATTAACAAATTTTTATTTAGTAAAATTATATAAAGCGGATTTTCTAGTATATCGAATTTCAAATTAATACAATTTCAATTTAATGGAATTTATGTCAAGAAAAATTGCATAAAGAACAAATTTTTTTTAACACAATTGTTATTTTAGTAAATTTCGATTTATCAAAATATTTACTTATCACAATTGTCATTGAATAAATTAAAAATTAACAGAATTTCTATTTAACAAAATTCTTAATTAAAAAAGTTTATATTAAAGAAAATTTTAATTCCAACTAATTCTTCTTTAACAGAATTCTCATTTAAAATCAATTATTTTCAAAATTTTCAGTTCAAAATCAATAAAAATTCAATTATTTTCAAAAATTTCAGATAAAATTCAATTATTTTCAAAATTTTCAGTCCAAAATTAACAAAAATTCAATTATTTTCAAAATTTTCAATTCAAAATCAACTAAAATTCAATTATTTTCAAAATTTTCAATTCAAACTCAACTCAAATTTAATTATTTTTAAAATTTTCAATTCAAAATTAACAAAAATTCAATTATTTTCAAAATTTTCAATTCAAAATCAACTAAAATTCAATTATTTTCAAAATTTTCAATTCCAACTCAACTCAAGTTTAATTATTTTTAAAATTTTCAATTCAAAAACAATAAAAATTCAATTAATTAAAAAAATTTCTTTTCAAAATCAACTAAAATTCAATTATTTTACAAAATTTCTAAAAAAAATTAACCAAAATTCAATTATTTTCAAAATTTTCAGTCCAAAATTAACAAAAATTCAATTATTTTCAAAATTTTCAATTCAAAATCAACTAAAATTCAATTATTTTCAAAATTTTCAATTCAAACTCAACTCAAATTTAATTATTTTTAAAATTTTCAATTCAAAATTAACAAAAATTCAATTATTTTCAAAATTTTCAATTCAAAATCAACTCAAGTTTAATTATTTTTAAAATTTTCAATTCAAAATCAATAAAAATTCAATTATTTTCAAAAATTTCAATTCATAATAAACTATAATTAAATTATTATCAAAATTTCAATTGAAAATCAATTATTTTCAAAATTTTATATCCAAAATCAACAACTGAAATTCAATTATTTTCCAAAATTTCAAATCAAATTTAACCAAAATTCAATTATTTTCTAAATTGTCAATTGAAATTCAATTACGTTCAAAATTTTTAGTCCAAAATTAACAAAACTTCAATTATTTTCTAAATTTTCAATTCAAAATCAACTAAAATTTAATTATTTTCCAAATATCAATTAAAATTCAATTAATTAAAAAAATTTCTATTAAAAATCAACCAAAATTCAATTATTTTCCAAAATGTCAATTGAAATTCAATTAGTTTAAAAATTTTCAGTCCAAAATTAACAAACATTCAATTTTTTTTGAAAAATTTCAATTCAAAATCAACTAAAATTCAATTATTTTAAAAATTTTCAATTTAAAATTTATAAAAATTCAATTATTTTCCAAAATTTTCAATTCAAACTCAACTCAAATTTAATTATTTTCTAAATTTTCAATTCAAAATCAACTAAAATTCAATTATTTTAAAAATTTCAATTCAAAATTTATAAAAATTCAATTATTTTCAAAATTTTCAATTCAAAATCAACTCAAATGTAATTATTTTAAAAATTTTCAAATTAAAATTTATAAAAATTGAATTATTTTCAAAATTTTCATTCCAAATTCAACTAAAATTCAATTATTTACAAAAATGTAAATTATAAATTAATTTTTTTTGAAAATATTCAATTCAAAATCAAGCAAAATTCAATTATTTTCCAAAATTTCAATTTAAAAGCTTCTAAAATTTTCAATCTCAAATTTTTTGAAATTTAATAATTCCAATTATAACTATCCTGAATTTTAATTTTTTTTTAATTTACTCTTCGGAAAATTCAACCATCTAAAATCATTTTTCACTTAAAAAGTTTTTAAATTTTTATATTTTTGTCTGCAATTTCTCATCAATTTTTTAGTGATATTATCAAAAATTATAAATTAAAAATCACTTGAAGTTCAATTAATTTAAAAAATCAAAATTTATAAATCTTTGAAAATTCAATTACTTTTAAAAAATATTATCCAAAAATTATTTGATAAATTATTTTTAGTTTTGTAAAATTTTGATTATTGTCTGAAAATTAACAAAATCTTTTCAAATTCAATTATTTCTAAAAAAAATTAAACTTTAACTCTTCCAAAATAATTATTTAAAAAAAAAATTATATTTAAAAATCTGTAAAACTTGATTCAATTTTGCCTAAAATTTTTTTGACCATAAAAAATTAAAAATTATGAAAAAATTTTTAATTCGAATAAATTGCTTAAATCAAGTAGATTTTATAGTGTATCGAATTTCAAATTAATAGAATTTTAATTTAACGGAATTTATGTCAAGAAAAATTGCATAAAGAACAATTTTTTTTCACAGAATTGTTATTTTAGTAAATTTCGATTCATCAAAATATTTACTTAACAAAATTGTCATTGTATAAATCCACAATTAACAGAATTTCTATTTAACAAAATTCTTAATTAACAAAGTTTTTATTAAAGAAAATTTTAATTCCAACTAATTCTTATTTAACAGAATTTTCTCATTTAAGAAAAATTCTACTTAGTTCATTTTTTTGTCAATTTTTATAAACATAAATTTCGTTAAATTCAAAATTATATTAATTTAAAATTTTTTAAAAAAAGTATTAGAAAAAATGCTTTATAAGAGTTCTGCTAAATGGAAATTAAATCGAATTTTAGTTAAATGTAAATTGAAAATTTTTGCATAATATAAATTCCACTTTATACAATTTTCAAAAATAGAAATTCGATAATTTAATATTCAACGCCGTGAAAATTTTTTATAAATTAAATGTGGATATTAGCATTAAATAATAAATTATTTGTATTAATGAATAATTTAATTTATTTGAAGTTGAAACCGCTAAAATAAAATTCAAATAATTTTGATTTATATATAAAAAACGAAATATTTTACTGAAAAAAAAATAAATTTATTTATTAAATTTATTAAATTCAATAAATAGTAGAAAATAATTATTTACTTAATGAATATATATATCACATGCTTAATAATTGAGTGTGAAGACCAACTTTTTAATTTGCATTTGCTTTGAGGAAAAAAAGTAAAAAAAAATTTTTTTAAACTAATATTATTTATAAAAAAAATTCCAGAAAATTAAAGAAATTCCCTGACCGTTAGACACCCTGTAAATTAAATAAATTAAAAAAAAAACAATTGATTAAAACTCACTTTTCCATCGACTTTCGCTAATTCTTGTAATAAAAGTTCAACGACACAATCGTGTCCCATATGCGCTGCAACATGCAATGCTCGTCTTCCATTTTTATCAGTTTCCTCAATTGATGCTTGATGGGCTAATAAAAATTTTGTCATTGATTCATGACCATTAAATGCAGCGAGATGCAAACTCGTTCTTCCTTCGCTGCAAAAAAAAAAGAAAACAAAAATACATTTACTGAAGTGAAAAATTTTAAATAAATTTAAATATAATAATTGTAAATAATTATAAATAATTGAAGATAATTTTAATTTACTAATAATAACAATAATGTTTATTTTTTTGATTATTATTTATTATTATTATTTATTATTTATTGATTATTATTTATTTTTTTTTTTAATAAATATCTATTTAATTTATTATATTTTCAAATTTATTTTCATTACCTGGATATAAATAAAAATTTAAGAAATAATTAAATTACAAAATTTTATATTGAAAAAAAAAACTCACCTATCTTTCGCATCAATATCAACAATTGGAGCTAATAATTGAGCGCATGGAATCGAATTATTTGCAGCGGCAATATGAAGTGGAGTTTGTAAATTACAATCTTGAACATTTGAATTTGCTCTTTGTGATAAAAGTGCATTGACAATTGTTCGATTATTTAAATAACACGCCTTATGTAATGGTGTTTGTCCTGAATTATCTCTTTTATTAACATCAGCTCCATTATCAATTAATAATTCGACAATTCGCAAATCTCCCCTGGAAAAATTGAAATAAAAAATAAATAAATATTAAAAAAAAAGAAACAAATATTTAATTTTCGTTATTTATTTATTTTTTTGTTTTTTGTAATACCTGTATGCTGCTGCATGTAAAAAAGAACGATTTTCCGAGTCGTGCCAATCGATTCTTTCATGTTTCACCATTATTTTAGCGACTTCGAAATTCCCTCGAAATATTGCTTGCAATAACGGTGACTAAAAAAAAAAAAAAGAAAAAACCGCATGATTTCTCTAATTGAAAATCCAATTTTTTTTTTTTTTTATACAAATTTCAAAACTTTCTATAATTAACTATATAAAAAAAATTTGTTCAATTATATTTAAAAATTAATTTATTACAAGTTTCAAAAATAATAATTAAAAAAAAAATATTCAATTTATTACATTTTTTTAAAAATTAATTTATATTATTTATTTATTTAACTAGAAATATTTCTATTATAATTTATATTATATTTATCAATTATTGTAATTATTTAGTTTTGTAATAATTAATTTTTAATTATTCATTTTTAGGGAAAATAATTTACTAAAATATTATTATTAAAAATAATTATTACGAATTATATTAATATATTATAAATAATAAAAATATTATTATTAATAATAAACAAATTATTGCAATTAAATTACGTTGTAAATTATTTAAACAAGAATTATTATTTAAATTTAAAATGTAATTAATATTATCTATTTATTACAAAAAAAAAAGAAAAAAAAACTAAAACTATAAGATTCATGGAAGTAAATTTTCCGATATTTAATTTTAATAATTAATTTTAATTATTAATTTACTATGTAATTATTATTTTTACTTGTAAATAATAATCTAGTATAAAAAAAATTTTTACAACAGAAAATTACATAATTCATCCTAAAATTGTAAAAGAAAAATAATTTTCTCGAAAAAATTGGAAAAATTTAAATTTCTTTAAAAATTAAATTTATATATATATATATATATATATAATTAATGCGAAAAAAATTACTTTTTAACAAATTTTATACTTAAAATAAACGAAATAAAATTAAATTCGAAATATTAAAAAAAAATTACTTTCTCATGTATTAGAAATGCGAAAAAAAGCAGAACATAACCTCAAAATAACGTTTATGACAAATTTTACCAATTTCACATAGTAAAACAATAATAATTTAAAACAAAATCCCGGTTAAAAAAAAAAATTAAAAACAATCACTTTTTTGCGATATATTCAATAATATATACATAACCTCAAAATAATTTCATGACAATTTTCACAATTTTTCGCAAAATAATTCCAGCATTAATTTCACAATTTGAACGAAAATGAAATATAAGACATTAATAATTATTGAAAATTGCAAAAAGAAATAATTGTCAAATAATTGCTAGATGTAGAAATAAAAAGAAAATTGAATAATACTTACCTCCTCACAAAGGGGATGAGAATTCATTGTTAAGAGATGCGTATTCGTGAAGGAAAAAAAAAAAAAAAAAAAAAAAAATAGGGGCAGAAATAACTGAAGCACACACTTTTAAACTATAATTAATAATATAACTTTACGAAATATATATTTATAATAAATAAAAGAATTGAAAAAATTGCCTAAATTTTCCCCGGAAATAATTTTGACAGATTGTCCATGACATTCGCATATTTAATGCCCGCATATATATGACAAATCAAACGCGAGAATATTTTTTCCCCCAATAAAATTTCGTTCACATTTTTTTAATATTTGTTTCTCAATTTTTGCGCAAAAAAAATAACAAACGACAAATAACTGTTTTCTTTTTTAAATAAAAAAATGAGAAAACCTATTTAATTAAATACTGAGATAAAGAGAGAGAGAGAGAGAAAAAAAAATTATTAGAGAAGAAGAACGAAACAAAGACTGCTGAAGTCAAATGAGTTGTTTTTTAAAAAAAAATTTTAATAAATTTTTTTCATTAATTATCAAGTAGAAAGAAGTGTAAGGATATTAACTATTTACTTTTTTTATAATTTACGAAAAAATAACACTATAATTACCAGAATCACAATAATTAAATAAATGTAGAAATAAAATTATTAATGAAATAAATAAATAATAATAAATACTGATTTGACTAGTGTTGTGTAACAATTAAAATTCTAAATTAAAATTAAAAATTCCTATAAATAATTGAAATAAAATAAAAAATAAATACTGATTTGACTAGTGTAGTGCACCAATCAATGAAAATTCAAAATTTAAATTAAAATTCAAAATTAAATATTTATCGTTTGACAATTTTCTTTATAAAAAAAATTAAATTATAAAATAATAAAAATAGTTTTAAATAAATTTTGTTTTGTAAAATAGAAAATTATCAACACAATCGCTTAATTAGTAACATAACCTAGTTAACTTGGAAACAATAACAAAGTTCTTAATATACAAAAGTGTTTATAAAAAATCTAATAAAGTTTGTGATAAAAAATAGAAAAATATTTATTTACCATATATAAATAATTCCCCTTTTTTTTTAGAAATAAATAAAAAAAAATGTAGAAAAAACGTGATTTAAATATAGTATCGATATATTTTTGAGAGGCGATAAACGCCTATTTATATTATAACCTCAAAAATGTTAAAAAAAATTTTTTTATTGTCTTTATTATTGTTAATTGTAAATAAAATATTTTCCGATTCAATATTTTCCACTGAATTGAAAAATGATGGTAAAAAAAATTCTCTTGATATTAATTTTTCAACAAAAAGGTAAGATTAAAAATAATATTTATCGATTTTTTGTTAATTAAAAAAAAAAATTGTTTAATTTTTTGCACTCTTAATTAAAATAATAATAATAATAATAATAATAATAATAATAATAATAATAATAATATAAATATTGCGAAATATATATAAATATATATTTTTAAATTATAATTTGTTAATAAATATTAATTAAATTTTTTTTTATTATTTTAATATTACATTAAATTACAAATAGATCGCCCCAAAAATGGGGTATTCCATGTAAAGTGAAACACGATTTTATTTTTACATTTGTGATTTATTTGAATTTTTTTTTTTTTATTCAGTGAAAAAAAAATAAATAGAAATTGAATTTATAAAAAATAACATTTTACAGATACATTCTTTATGATGTAAATCCTCCCGAAGGATTTAATCTTCGACGAGATGTTTACGTTCGAATTGCTGTTTTTGTAAAAAAATTATTAGAAGAACAAAGCAAATATCATTGGATTTTAGTTCTTCCGCCTTGGGGTAATAAATAAATAAATTAATTAAAAAAATAAATTAAATAAATTAAAAAAATAAATTAAATAAATTAAAAAAATAAATTAAATTAATTAAAAAAATAAATTAAATAAATTAAAAAAATAAATTAAATTAATTAAAAAATAAATTAATTAAATAAAAAAGAATTTAGTTAAAAAGGTAGCAAAAAAAAGAGAATTTTTAGTAACAAATTTTTGTAAAAAAGAAAAAATTTTAAATTTAATATTTTTAGAAATATTTTTAAATGAAAAATTAACGGTATTTTTTGTTTTTCTTTTTTACAGGAAAATTATATCATTGGAAAAGTAAAGATATTGGACCACAAGTTCAAATTCCCTGGGGATATTTTTTTGATATTTCCAGTCTCAGGAAATATATTCCTATTATGGAAATGCATGAATTTTTAAAAGGTTTTTTTTTCTCTATTTCATTAGTTTCGTTAAATTTTTATTTTAATTTCAAATTTTGTTTCTAATCGTTTTAAAATAGAATTAAATTATTAATTTATTATATAAATAATTAGAATTTAATTACAGAATATTTTTTTTCATTCCTTTTTTTAATTTTTTAATTAAATTTCAATTAATTATTTTTAATAAAAAAATAAATAATTATAATTAAAGTAATTTAATTATTTAATTATTTTAATAATTCATTATTAGATATTTTAATTATTATTTATTATTATTTAATATATATTTTTTTTATTATTTTTTAATTATTTACTATAATATTGTAAATTTAATTATTTATTTGCAAAATTTTACTAAAATTTTGTAAAAATTGTAAATTAATTTAAATACAATTGTAAATAAATTAAAAATTTTAATTTCTACAATTTATTACAAAAATAATTTGATAATAAAATTTTATAAATTTAATAATGGAATATTTTTTTTTAATTTTAATTTTTTTTTTTTGCAGAATATCCCTCGAAGGAAGGTGGAACCGATTTGGATATTGTTTATATTTTACAAAATGACGAGGAAATGTTTAAAACAGGCAAATTTGAGGAGAAAAATAAAATTATTAATTGTCAAAAAGGTCGGGTGCAATATGAACAAATTGGTGAAAATGAATTTTTTGGCAATTTTTGGGGCTATGACAATATAACAGCACGACAATTGAAATGTGTAATTTTTCATGGTACTGCATCGAATTTAAAGGAAAATTTACAACCACAACTTTATAGGTAAAAAAAATGGACGGGGTCAAAAAAAAAAAAAAAATTGGCAAAAAATTTTTTTAAAAAATTGCCTTTTGAATTTCTAATTTTCGTTCTTGATTAATGAAAATACTAAGTTGGGCAAACAATTTTTTAGTCTTTCACGAAAAAAAGAATTACAATTTTTTTTGTACTTAATTTAATAAAAAAAAAAATTTATTTAATTTTATTTATTTTTTAAAATTAAATTTTTTTTTTAAATTCTTGTTTTTTTTTTTTTTTGAAATTTACAGTGAATTTATGAATTTTTTTTTCGCAAAAAAATAAATTTTCACTTTTAATTTTTCTCTCGCAGATCAATTGTTTTTGATCATATGGAAATTGCCCTTCACGATTATTTTGGTTCAAGAGAATTTTGGCAAGCCAGACGAAGCATGCGTTTTAATTTGGAACTTTATAAAATTGCCAACAATTTTCGAAAACGTGAATTAAATTCTGATGATATTTCAGATGGAATTGAACGTCCGGAAAATTGGCAAGATGAAAAAAAAGTATTTAAATTGTTTCATTAAATAATTATTTTTTTTTAAAATTAATTATTAAAATAATAAAAATTAAAATAATATTTAAAATTTTTCAATTTTAAAATTAAAAATTTTAAAACATTCTTTTCAAATTAATTTTTTTTTTTTAAATTAAAAATAAATGAAAATAAAAATTTAATTAAATTAATAAATTTTGTAATTAAATATCAAAATAAATTAATAAATCTAATTTATTTGTTCCAAAGAAAAAAAAATTAAAAAATTTAATTTAATTTAAATTTAAAGAAAATATTAATTATTATTTTTTTTTAGGGTGCAAAAAATGCAGTGGGCGGTCCATATTTGGCGGTTCATTTGAGAAGACAAGATTTTCTTAAAGGACGAGTCGAAACTATTCCCACGATAAAAAGCGTTGCTTTACAATTAATGGAAAAATTAAAGGAATTAAATCTCAAAACACTTTTTGTGGCAACGGACACTGATGATTATGGTTTCAAAATACTTTTGTTACTATTTTTTTTTTTTTTTTTTTGAAAATATCAAAAATTAAAAAAATTTTATTTTAATTATTTTTAATTAAAAAAAAAAAAATTAATTATTATCAAAAAAAAAAAAATTTGTTTACTCGTCTCATTAGAATTTAATTGTTTTAGAATTCAAGAAACTTGAAAAGTATTTAGAAAATTTTAAAATCATTAAATTCATTCCCAATGAGAGGGAAAACAATAAATTTAAAGACGGAGGAATTGCAATTATCGATCAAATTATTTGCTCGCACGCCAGGTAATTAATTTATTTTTATTTATAATACTAAGAAAAATAATAAAAATTTTATAAATAATAAATTCATTAATTTTGAATTTTTTTTTTTTGCAATATTTTTAAAATAAATTAAAAAAATTTTTTTTTTTTATTATTCGCAGATATTTCATTGGAACACTCGAGTCGACATTTACATTTCGAATTCAAGAAGAACGTGAAATAATTGGATTTCCCGTTAATTCGACATTTAATCGATTGTGTGGAAAAGATAAAGAATGTCAAAATGTTAGCCAATGGAAAATTGTTTGGTAAAATTTGGAAAACAAAAAAAAAACAAAAAAAAAAAAAAAAGAAAATGACAATAAAAAATTTTTACTTTTTGTAATAAAAAAAAAATCAAAGGAAAAATATATTTTTATTTTTGTTAGAATTAGAACCTTTTTTTAACAATGCTCTATTTTTTAATTAGGAACAAATTGTTAAAAAAAAAAATTTTTTTTTCTAAATTATTTTAGCAAATCAAGAACTAAAATAAAGAAAAAAAATTTTAAATTCAAAATTTTGATTTTTAAAAAGTGATGAAAATGCTACGATTAATATTAATTTTAATTTATTTATAATTAATTAATAATTATTATAATATTAAAAAAAAAAATTATTTTCAAAATTTCAAATTAAATTGAAATTTTATATTTCTTTGACCTATAGTGAAATTTTGCATTAGTAATTATTTTTTAGAATAAGCTATTAAAAATAAGGGGAAAAGTTAAAAATAAAAAATTAATCTCAAAGGTCGCGCGATGTCACGATATTAAGTTATTGCGATTTATTTCTTAGTTACTGTATTTTATAAGATTGGAAAACCCGTGATTTTCCAAGATGATCAAATTTAGGTAAATTATTATTATTATTATTTAAAAAATTTCATTGATTTATTAAAAATTAAATATTTCTACTATATTATTAGTGTTCGTTTCAATGAAAAAATATGAAACAAATTTTTTTAATATATTATATTTTATATTAATTTTATATTAATATTTTATTTTAATTTTGAAAAAAAAATTTTCCGTTTACTAGTTATAAAAATTATAAATAATTAAAAAATAATTTTTATTTATTTATCATCTTTATTTATTATTATTTTATTTTTATTTATTTTTCTTATTTTTAATTAATTTTATTTTCAATTTATTAAAATTTAATGTTTTTTTTTTATAAATTTATTTTGTTAATAATTTTTTAATTGAAAAATAATAATTTTTGCAAATAATTTTGAAAAAAAACAATTTTTATTGAATTTATAATAATAATAATTAAAAACTTTCCATAATAGAAAATTTTTAAATGGTAAAAAAATTTCTATTTCAGAAATAGTTTGAAATATTTTCTATGTTTGGTGCTAATTTTCATCGCGATACAATTAACAGCGGCTGAGAGCGATGAAAAAATTCGCGAAATTTGCACTAACATCTGGAAGGGTAGGAAAAATTTTTTTTATTTCATCCCTATTTCAAATTTTTTACTACTATTTTTTAAATATTTATTTATTGAAATTAATAATAAAAATGGTATTAAAAAAAAATTGTAGTCCTATTTTTAAAATGTGACGCGCTTTATGGAAAGGGATTTTGGCAAAAAGTTATAGGTTATGTTTATGATAGTATTACAGAATTAAATTTTTTTTTTTTGAAAAATCAAAATCAATTTTTATTACATATTTTTGTACTTAAAAAAAACTTAATTAATAATCCATTTGTACTGCAAGTTATACAATTATCTCTGTTTTTTTTACTACGAACTATCATAAACATAACCTATAATTTTTAACTTTTTAAATTTCTTTATCTTCAGCGAAATATACGGTTTTTAATTCTTAACAAATATCTACTTTACCGACTTTTATACACTGAGAAAACTATTCAAAAAAACCAATTTCCAATTGAGAAAAATGACGTAAAGTCGGTAAGTCGGTAAGATAGATTTTTCTCGCTAAATTAAATTTTTCATTATGAAAATAATTTGCAGAAAAAAAACACGAATTGCAATGTTTTTGCCCACCTGGAATTCCATCCCCACCACCTTGGAAAGGTGAACCTGGATTTCCTGGTATTCCAGGACTTCCAGGACTTCAAGGAGAAAAAGGTGAACAAGGACAAATTGGATTTCCTGGTGTTCCAGGATTTCCGGGTCAAAAAGGACAACGAGGCGATTCCGGATAAAATATAAAAAAAAATTATCTATTTTTTTTTGTTGAAAAAATGAATTTAAAATTTTTTTTCAATATAATATAAAAATAAAAAAAATAAATATAAATATAAATAATAAATAAAAAAGAAAAAGAAAAATGTAAATAATTGTCTTTTTAATTAAATTTTTTTTTGTATTTTCAAAAAAAAAAATAAATATTATTTTTGGTTAAATAAAAATTTAGCCTCATAACTTTCATATTTATAGAAGTTTCCTATCTATGTTGCGTCGGTAAAGAAGATTACGTTTCTACGAATATTTTGAATTATTTTGGCGCGATATTTAAATTTCTATATCTACCCTTTTGCAATTCTACATTATCGACAGTATATAGAAGGGCAACTTTGGTTTTAAAATATTAAAACTGAAAAATTTGTTTTTTTCAAAAATGTTTCTTTGTAGGTAATTAAAATTGTTTTTTATTTGAAAAATTTAGAAAAATCTAAATTTAATTTTACTGATAATAAAGAAATTAAATTTAAAAAAAATATTTTTTTTAAAAATAATTTTTTCTCATAAATAAGCAATTAAATAATTTACGTATTATCAAGTGGGACAAAAATCACAATAATCACGTGTTGATTGGAGAGTGAATTTCAGAAAATTGGAATTTCCGTGGACCGTATTATTCATATCATCGGTTTGCAAGGAGATAAAGTATAAAAAATATTTTTTTTCTTTTATAATCTTTTCTTTTTAAGACTAATAAAAATTATCATTATATAAGGAGTTTTAAGATCATAAAAACAGAAATACAGAAGTGAGTTGTCGACAAAAAATTGAATATGAAGTTAATTTAAATCCACAATAAAGTTAAACATGAATTTTCAGTAAGTAACCTAAAAATTCTCAAGGTTAGATTAAAATAATTTTTTTAATTATATATAATCCATTTTTGTCCTAAGCAATAAAATTCAAAAAGTGATTTTACTCCTACAATTATTTTTCAATTTAAAGAATTTGTATTTTTTTTTACCTTTTTTCTATCAATTTAATAAAATAAAACTGATTACAATATAATTTCTTTAATTAAACTTTCAAATAAGAGAAAAGAATAACAGAAAATAACAGTTTTTAATTCAATAATCTTGTCATTTTGTGTCTAATTTTTCAAAAGTGAGTTTCGTTTCTATGTACCGTCGGTAATGTAGTTGAGGCGCCACTGAATATTTCCTAAATAAAGGGCGCGAAATTCAAATCTCTAACAATTAAAAATATATATTTTTTTAATTAATTATAAATTACATTCAAATATTGATAGAAAATTAGATTATTGATAGTAAAACGTTAAAATTTTTAAAAATGTTAAAATTAAAAAGAAAAATTAACTAAAAATTATTTTACAGAAATTATCATTGGAAATATGGATTGATATTTGTGATATTATGTCTGACAATCCGTGACTGTAAAGCCGGAACAACATGTGTGAAAGCAATACGTCAAATTTGCCTTCAAATTTGGGAAGGTACGAGCTTAATCTGACAATATTAATTATGTAAATTTAAAATAATAATAGTAATAATATACATTTAAAATATTAATATTAATTTAAAATTACCTTTTAATATAATTTGACCTAACATAACCTCAAATATAAATACACCCAATTGCATAAATGTTCGTCAACTACCGAACTCTGCTCTAGTGAAAATTTAGTAACTTTATAGTAACTTTCAATTTTAATTATTAACCATTTTGAAATGTTTCCCTGTTCCCTTATGTATTTTCCCCAATTATTCATTATCTAGTATGAAATACTTGCTTTTCAGCCACTAAATCCAATACGACTCTAATTACACTAATTGAATTTCTTCTTTTTCTTCTTCTTCTTCTTCTTCTTAATATTAGTTTTTAGGCAACTTTCAAAATTGCCGATGTAAAGAAAGTATTGTAGAACAGCCTTGACAGAATTTAGTAGGATATTTGATGCCAGGTTGGTTTCCATTAAAAATGAAAAAAAATTTTCCAGAAAAAATTGACGAGTTAATCGAAGAAAGAGGATACGGTTCACCTGGACCAAGGGGATTTACAGGACCACAAGGACGTCAAGGAGCACAAGGTCCGAAAGGTGAGCGAGGTGCTAATGGATGTGGCAAAAAAGGGGATCAAGGACCCAGAGGTCAGAAGGGTGATGCGGGACGTGATGGTTACAATGGATCGAAAGGTTCAATGGGACCCGAAGGTCCTAGAGGTGATAAAGGTTCACCTGGTGAAAAAGGAGAATCAGGACCTACGGGTTCGCAGGGACTTCAAGGACCCATAGGTGTAAGAGGTGATAAAGGAAGTACAGGTGATATTGGAATGGAAGGTCTTAAGGGAGATAAAGGCCTCGAAGGACTGCCTGGTATTCGAGGAGAAAAAGGTGAGGCAGGACCTTCTGGTATTAAAGGCGAAGAAGGACCCAAGGGAATTGCAGGCTCAGTTGGCCTAAAAGGTGATGTGGGACCTACAGGTCCGAAAGGAGAAAAGGGATCACTAGGTCTAGCAGGAGTTGATGGTATGCCAGGACCAGAAGGTCTTCCAGGTATGATAGGAAGCGAAGGATTGCCTGGACTTAATGGTCTGCCGGGAGAAAAAGGAGAAATAGGTTATCCAGGTCCTAAGGGAGATAAAGGATCTCCAGGTTTTGATGGTTGGGAGGGAGAAATAGGACCACAGGGACCTGTAGGACCTCAGGGATTACCAGGAGATGAAGGACCACCAGGACCAACGGGACCTTCGGGTCCACCAGGAGCCCCGGGATTTACAGGACCTCCAGGTCCACGAGGACGTCAAGGAGTTCCAGGTTTGAAAGGTGATAAAGGTTTTAATGGAAGAATAGGTGAAAAAGAAGGTGGAGAAGGATCAGTGAGACCTGCAAGGGGAGAAGGTGGGCCAAGACCGCAGAGAACGAAAGGAGAAAAAGAACGTTCAGGAATTTCTGATTCTGATCGAGAAAAGATAGGATCTTCGATTTCAATAGGAGAAAAAAAAGTTTTAGATCTTCCTGGAGAAATAGGAAAGTCAGAACTTCCAATTACGAAAGAAGAAGGATTAGGAATTGAAGAAACAGCAGTAAAAAAAGAGGACTCAGCTCTTCAAGAATCTACAGCTTTGAAAGCAGATCAGAATACTTTAGGTGTTACTGGAGAAAAGAGGGAGCCAGAACCTGAAATCCCTCCAAGCTTGAAGGAAAAGGTAAAAGCTTCCGAAATTGAGGATTCGCCTGGAGAAAAGAAAAAGCCAGGACCTGAGGAAACTCCAGGTCTGGTGGAAGATACACCTCTTTTAGAAGAAGTAGATTTTGTTGGGGATACAGAAGATCCAGGACTTTCACATAGTACAGAAGAGGAAAGACGTTTGGGAGATAAGGAAACAGGTATGAAAATTGAAGAAGCAGGTTCTGAAGAATCTACAGCTCCGAAAGAAGATCAAAACCCTTCAGAACTTGCAGGTCTTTTTGGAGAAAAGAAAAAACCAGAACCTGCAATTCCTCCAACTTTAAAGGAAAAGGAAGAATCTCCCGAAACTGAAGCTCTGCCTGGAGAAAAGGAGCCAAAATCTACAGGAACTCCAAGTTTGAAAGAAAAGAAAGAATCTCCCGAAACTAAGAATCAGCCTGGAGAAAAGGAAAAGCCAGAACCTGTGGAAACTCCAGGACCGATAGTAGAAAAAACTCTTCTAGAAGTTTTAGATCTTCCTGAAGATGAAGAAAACCCAGGACTTCGAAATACGAAAGAAGAAAGAGAAGAACATTCGGAAATTCAAGAATCAGCTACAAAAACGAAGGATCCTCAAGAATTTATAGCTCCGAAAGAAAATCTAAATCCATTAGAAATTTTTGGTCTTGCTGGAGAACAAAAGAAGGCAGAATCTGCAATTCTTCCAAGTTTGATTGCAAAAGAAAAATCAAAGTCTGAAGAAATCGGCGAATTAGAATCTCCTAATCCGAGTAGATACTTAGAACCACCAAAATCTGATGAGATATTAGGGGAAATAGAAAAAGAAATAGAACTAGAAGATTTACCCGATGTTATTTCTGTTTTAGGAACAGATCATCGGCCTAATATGGATAAAATAGATTATTAACAGGTATCTACCTTACCGACATTTATTATATGAGAAAACTATTTAGAAAATGGATTTGTATAGAGAACGGCGTAAAGTCGGTAAGGTAGATTTCTTCGATAAATCTTTAAAATAAAAAATAATTAAAAGCAATTACTAGTTTTCTATAAAGAACGACGTAAAGTCGATAAGGTAGATTTTTCTCACTAAACGAATAAAAAATAATTCAAAAACCAATGAATATTTTCTTAGAGAACGGCGTAAAGTCGGTAAGGTAGATTTTTCTCGCTAAACATTTTTGAATAAAAATTAATTAAAATCAATGGTTTTTCTTAGAGAGCGTCGTAAAGTCGGTAAGTCGATAAAGTAGTTCTCGCTAAACATTTTTTTTCAAAATAAAAAAAAAATGTCGCAGTGTATCTCAAAAAAGAAACTGTTTATAAAATACTCAAATTTAATTAAATAACTAATAGATTTAAAAAAAATAATGTAATTAAATAATAAAATGAATAAAAAATAATTTCATATCATAGCGAATTATTTTAAAAAATTATATTCCTTATAGAAATTTTTATAACTAAAATTTGTAAAAAAAATTATTTAATACTCTTTGAAAAGGGAAGAAAAATTTTAAAATTTCGTAAGATTTCTATTTTTATTTCATTTCATTTTTACGATTCAGTCTTTCTAAAGTGATTACACGATATTAGTTTTTCTTCTCATAATTCTATAACAATTTTAAATTTAATTTTGATTTTTTTTTATTTAATAATCTATATATATATATATATATTTTTAATATTATTATTGTTATTATTATTTATTATATTATTATAATTATTAAAATGGAGGAAAAAATTTTTTTTTCCTAAAATTTCTAATTTATCTAAATTTATTTTTTCATTTTGAATGAAAAAAAATTAAAAATTTTAAAAAACAATTAAAAACTGTTATAAATTAGTTAAAATTAGTGTAAATTGTTTAAAAAAATTTATTTAAATTAAAAATTAAATTTCTTTTCTTTAAATTTTTTTTTTAAATAAGAACTTTTTTTTATTTAAAAGTAAAAAATTGTAATTAAAATTTGTAAATAAGAATTTTAATACTTTAAATATTTGTTTTTTTTTGGGTTTGGTTTGTTTTCTAAAAAAAAAAATTTAATTTAACTCTGTCCAGGTTCTTCAGTTTTTGGTTTACCTATTAATTCCTGTTCACGTCTCAATTCTTGTTCTCGTTTTTGTTCCTTAAGAACTGCTTCCTTTTGTTTTGTTTTTTGCAATCGTAAAGCTCGATTCTGCAATTATTTTGCAATTTTATCAATGGAAAGCAAAAATATTTGTGAATTTAAAATTTTCTTTTTTTTTGTAATTGTAATTGTAATTTTACTGATTTTTTGTAATTAATAATTAATTAATTTAAAATTTAATTTAATATTTTATTTTAATTTTCGTACTCTTGAAATGTAACGTTTTTGTAAAATTTTTTTTACAAAAAAAATTTCTATAAAAAAAAAAACAATTCTGAAACTTTTCTTTATGGAAAAAATAATAATAAATTAATTTAATAATTTAAATTAATTAATTGAATTTTAATTTTCAATTCCTTAAAATGTAACGTTTTAGTAACATTCTAGTGACATTTTCCATAAAAAAAGCAACTCCGAAACTTTTTTTTTTTAGAAAAAATAATTCTCTGCTTTTAGAAAAAATAATCATTTTCTTATTTTCTAAAATAGGTAAGAAAAATTCTTACCTTTAATTTCGATGTTCGTTCGTGAATTGACACCATATCGGATTTTAGTGAAGAAAGTTTTGTTTGATATGTGTTTATCATTGAAAACTGAAAATGAAAAAAAAAACATTTATGAATTAAAATTTTTTTCTTTTTCACATAAAAATCAACATTCTTTTCTTATTTTCGAAATAATTAAAATAATAATAAAATAATTTATTTTAAAATAAATTAACGGCAGTAAATGAATTTATTTATCGTAAATTAATTAATTTTCTTTAAATAAAAAATTTGCATATATAAAAAAGTTTTTATTTAAAAGTAATTAATTTTCTTTTCTTTATTTGTACAAAAAATAAAAATTTGATTTTCAATTACAAAAAATTTAAAAATAAAAATTGATGTAAATAAATTAAAAATTTTTTAAATTTTATAATTAAACATTTTTTTTTTATTAAATTTTTGAAACTAATGTTCAATTAATTTTTTATTATTAAAACAATAATATTTTATATATATTTAATTTATTAATTAAAATTGGAATAATAATTTTTAAATTTTTTTTTTTAATTCAAAACAATAATGTAATTATTATTATTTAAAAAATATATATATATATTTACTATTTCGTTGATACTGGGCTCTCCTTCGACGTCATTAATTTTTTTATTCTCATTTTGCATCTCGTGCAGCAATGTTTCTTGTTTCGTTCTGAAAAAAATATAAAAATTCAATAAAAAAATTTAATTATTTCAATTAAATAAATAGTTTTTTTTTTAATTTAAAAAATTTTAATTTACGTGAGTTCCTTGAGTTCTTTTTCAAGTTGTTCGAGTGGCGGTTGATAAATATTTAAAAGGCCCTGAGTGAGTTCCTCGGCTGCTTTTTGTAAATCTTGAGAAATCGCCAATTCTTCATTTTCCCTGTTTTTATTTTTTGTTATTAGTATTTTTATTTTCTATTAATTATTTTCTATTATTTAAAATATGAATTATTTCTTATTCTTCATTATTAATTATTAATATTAATTATAACTATTATTATTATTATTATTATTATTATTATTAATATTAATTATTACTATTATTATTATTATTATTATTATAATTATTATCAAATAATTTTAAATATAGTATTTTAAATAAAAAGTTTTATAAAATTAATAAAAAACAAAATTTATTTCTTTTAATTTAAATTAATTTCAATTTTAAATTTAAAAATTCTATAAAATCTTTATAAAAAGTAAATTAAAATAAAAATTATGTAATTTTAATTAAATAAAAAAAAATTAAATAATAAATAATTTAAAATTTTTAATAAATGAATAAGAAAATAATTTTGTTGAATTAATTTTATACGAAAATAATTTTGTTCTCTTTCATTTTAAGGTTATGATTATCGTAGCTTTTCTTTAAAAAAAAAAAAAAAAAAAAACCAAAGAAACGAAAAAATACAAAATTTGTTCTCCTACTTCAAATAATTATTTACGAAACAAAAAAAAATTCTACCTTAATTTCTATATATTAAATTTGCTTTTTCATATATATATTTATTTTTGACGATTTTTGAGGTTAGGATACAAAAGAAACCAATTTTAAAAATTCTATATAACCTATATAAATTATTAATAAAGAATCATTGAAAATGTTTTTAAAAAAATGATTTTAATTTCTATTCATAAATTATGATTTGTTTCCCCCCCCCCAAAAAAAAAAAATTTATAAAAGAAAAAATAACATTAAAATTAAAAATTTGAAAAAAAATATACATTACTTTTTTGGAGATCGAAGTTCTGGTTGAATTTCATCGACAACTGTCGATTCCTCAACGTCGTTCATCATTATTTCTATATCACTCACACACTATATTTATTTTACTCAAAAATTTATATAATTATTAATAAAAACTAATTCAAATTTATTTCTAACAATATTTATATAATTTATTTAATTTTCCACTTTATTTCCCTTAAAATCAAGTGATAAATATTGACATTTTTGCACACAGTGGTTTATTTACGTCGGAAGTCAGCTGACGTTTTTTCAGTTAAAAAAAAGGAATGACTACGCTAGTCATATATACACATCCGGTTCGCGAATTTCAAAAAGTAATAATCGAAATTCTCCCTATTTCTTTATTATTAATTACTAATATATATATATATATTTACATGTAATTTATTAATTAACAAGTAAAAAATATGTTAGAAACATAAAATCGAAAAAATTGATTCGATAATCTTTAGAGAAATATATAAGGAAAATTATTCGTAAACAGTGTAGAACCGGTTGCCTATTACCAGGAAAAATGTTCTTTGCTATTGCGATTCATTTTTTGTTCTCTTCCCTTTATTTGTGATTAAATTAATTGTTTATTAATAATAAATAATTTATAAAGTGTGAAATTAATTCAGTTTTTTTTTAGTTTTCAACAAGTGATGCCAGTTAAAAGTGTAAATTATTTTTTTTTTTTTATTTTATTTTACTTTTCTATATAAATCAAAATAGCAGGCGGAAGTATAGTTTCTCGCAAACATAACCTGCAAAAAAATGAGTTTTGAATTTTCTTCAACAATTTTCAACCTTTTTCCTGATTTAAAATGGTGAGTAATTTGTTTAATTAAATTTTTCGAATGTTATTTTATTTTATGTATATTTCATTATTATTATTATTATTTGTAAAATTTGAAAAATAAATACAAAATTATGTCGTTATTATTGAAATAATTTTCAAAACTTCGAAATTTTTATTTTTATTTTATATTTATTAGTTTTAAATCGAATTATTTTCAATTTTAGAGAAAATTTTTTTGGTTAAAAAAAAAATTACTTTTTTTGTAATTAAAAAAAAAGTATTACTTACTTTTCAAATTCAAATTTTTTTCAAAAACGCATTTTTATTCGGAAATTAATTTTTACAAATAAATATAAATTTATAAATAAAATAAATATTGTTGTAAATTTAATTATATTTAAAACAATTAAAAATTAAATAAAATAATTTTTTTATTTAAATTAAATTAAATAAACGAAATTATTTTTTTTTATTATTATCAAAAAAAAAATGATACATTTTTGAAAAAATCCAAAAAAAATTCACAATTTATTTTTAATTTATGTTCCAAATAAATTTAAAAAAAAAATGATTTTTTATTATTATAATTATTTTTAATGTTTATACATAAAGAATATTTTTATTTTTTAATTTAATTTATTTTTGCAAATTGTTTATTCAAAAAAAAAAAACCAAAAAAAATTATTATTCATTAAAAAACAAAAAATTGGAACATTTTTGGAAAATTGAAAAAAATTACAATTGTTTATTTTTTTTTTTTAAGAATTATTTACTTTTTTTTTGGAAAAAATTTTTATGTAAAAAATGTCTTCTCGTTTCAAATTCAATTAATTTTTACAAATTTAATTATTTATCAACAAAAGGTAAAAATAATTATTTTTTATAAAAAAAAAAAAAAATTCCTATGTTTTTGGAAAATAAAAAAAAATTACAATTGTTTAATTAAAAAATGAATTTATTATTTAAAAAAAAAATTTATAAATAAAAAAAGTATACATTTTTTTGCAAATTTATCTCTTTAAAAAATACAAAAACAAAATTATTATTTATTACTTAAAAAAAAAAAATACAATTTTTGATAGAAAAAAAAAATTATATTCTTGATTTTTGCGGTTTTTTTTTTAATTATTTTTAAAATTTACTCGTTGTTGCCTCATTATTTTCATTAATTTTCGATAATTTATCCTCAATCGTGTACATTTGTAAATTTAAACATTCAGTTTTTATTGTTTTCAATGGTAAGAGTTGTTGATTTTTTAAATCTTTTGTCACGTCGTCGACAATCCATGGAAAATCGGCAAAATTTGCATTTTCACTTAATCCAATGTGTGACGATTCAAAAGTGACAAAATTTATACGAAATGTTGAATTTTCCGGCAATGGCTTTAAATATGATTCCATTGTTGAAATTTTTAAACAAATTGTCCTTAAGGCCTCTTCGGTTTTCAAAAAATAGGGATCTGCCCTGAAAAATAATTTTTCATTCATTATTTTCGTTTGTATTTAATTTATTTAATTTAATTAATTTAATTAATTTAATTTAATTAATTTAATTTAATTAATTTAATTAATTTAATTAATTTAATTAATTTAATTAATTTAATTAATTTAATTAATTTAATTAATTTAATTAATTTAATTAATTTAATTAATTTAATTAATTTAATTAATTTAATTAATTTAATTACTTTAATTATTTTATTTCATTTATTTATTTTAATTAATTACTTGATTTTACTTTTATTTACTTTTTATTAATTAATTTATTTATTTAATAAATTAATTTTTAAAATTAATTTTTTTATTTTTATTTATTATCACAGAATTATTTTATTATTATTTATTGCAATGATTATTATTAATTACGCTAATTATTTATTTTATTTTTTTATTTGTATCGCAGAATTTATTAAAAATAAATACCTAATTAAAAATAATTAATAAATATGTTAAAATTTAATTTATTAATTATATTAATAATTTTATTTTATTTATTTACTGAAATAATTAATTAATTTTATTTATTTATTGCAATTATTAATTAGGCTTATTAAAAATAAAAATAAAAAATTATAATTACTCTTTATCGGAGGCCTTTAAATCGAGAATATCGAAAACAAATTTTTCCACAGGTATTTGTTTATTATTGAAAAATATAATTTGCACTGATTTAACACTTGAAATATCATCCTTTAATAATTCACGTAATGCATTTAAAACATTTTTTAAATATTCATTAAGATCCGGATGTTCCGAAACATAAATACAAATTCCATATAATTTTCTCCTCGAATAAATTGAATCCGGATAAATTTTGCGATAATATAAAATTTGATGAAATGCCGCCTCTAAAAATTCCAAAAGAATATCCGGTGTAACTGAAAAAAAATAGTTCCAACATTTTTTTTTTTTTCTATTTTTTCTTATTTCTATTTTTTTTAACTTACCAATTGACTCTTGTGACATTTTTTTCAATAACTAAAATAATTAATAATTAATCTTTTAATTAATAATTAATTAATAATTGATTAATATTTAATTAATAATTATTTTTACATTGAAATTATTTTTGAATTTCCCTCCGTTATTTTGCTCTCAACTCTGATTGGCCGGCGGCTTTCGTCTAAAAAAATCCAAGATGGCCGCGCGTGTATACAATGAAAATTCACACAATTCTCTAATATTGAAAATAACAAATTTCTCCTGCATATTTTATCATTGAAAAAGAAGTTTGTGTGTGTGTGTATTATATTGTTGTACATATATATATATAGAAATACAAAATAAAATAATCTGTAAATAATAAAAAAAAAAGAAAATTACAGTGATATTTTCGCGACGATAAAAATATATACATATATTTATTTAGGTGTCAAAAAAAAAAAGTTTTTGTTCAGTGCATGTGAAAAATACAAAAAAAAATCGTTTTTTATAACCTACCCAATGGTTTTGATTGCAATGTACAATTGGAATCATATAGAAAAATATTTGTGTTTTTCTTTTTCTTATTCTTCAATTTTACGCAGTTAAAAACACCAAACTTTCATCAATTGTGGTAAGCGAAAAAAAAAACACTTTCTTTAACAGAAAAAATAAAAAAGTTTTCACATTGTTAAAAATTACACTATTTGTATATATATATATATATTAGTATAAAAAGAAACTTAATAGTATATAAAATATTCCGAAAAAATGTCAGAAATATTAATCATGGCGGGAAGAAGTGAAATTTTTGTCAACGATGGTTAGTTTTTTTTTTTTTTTTTGTCTCGGGGAGAAAATTCCTAGATTTTCTTTATTTCAAAAAAAAAAAAAAAAAAAAAAAAAAACGGAAAGAAAATATTTAAAAAAAAAACAATCGTGGATTTTCTTTGGCAAAATTTTACAGTTTCTTTTCTGTTTGCTTTTTTTTCGGTCTTTAGATAATTATAATATTCCGACTTTTTGAGGTTATGTTTAAGTATTTTCGTTTATATTTTCGGGGAAAAATTGAAATTTTGTATTTTGGTCACATTTATTTTTTATATATTAATTGTAATAAAATTAAAAATTTATTTAGATCAAAATGCCACCAGCGAAGAAATTAGATATAGATAAACAAGCATGGATTTGGACGGAAACTGTTCAATCTAATGAAATTCAAAGAATTCATTTGGAAACTGCTTATCGGCTTGGATTAAGAAATTGCACAAATTGCAAGTGAGTTGTTTTTCATTTGTTTTTATTGTCAAAAAAAAAAAAAAAAAAAACTAAAAAAAAGGGATTTAATTTATTATTTTTTAAATGCAATAATTTTATTAAATTTTGAGAAATTTTTTCTCCTTTTTATTCTTTTTTTTTTGTTTGCGAAAATTCAAATCAAAGAATTATGATTATTTATTTATTTATTTCAAAACTTATAGGAATTTAAAATTTTAGAATATAATTAATTTAATTTTCGAAAAAATATAATTTAATTTAGAAAAAAAAAACAAATTATAATTATTTTTTTTTATTTATTTCGCGTCATTAAAAATTATTTTTATAATATAATTAAATTATTATTAAATTTTCATTTAATAAAAATATAAAACTAAAAATAAAAAACATTAAATTTAATCTAAATTGAAATTTTAATTTTAATTTAATTCTGTTAAATTTATGTTTCGATTTTAATTAAAAAGAATTATAAATTAACAAAATTATATTTCAATTTAAAATTAAATTCTAATTATAAATTTACAAATTTATTTTTTAATAATAAAATTCTAATTAAAATAAAAAATTAAAAAAAATTTTTAAGTTCTAATTAAATAAAATTTTAAAAATTATTTAAATTCTAATTAAATAAAATTTCAAAAATTATTTAAATTTTAAGTAAATAAAATTTCAAAAATTATTTAAAATTTTAATTAAGAATTAGAATTTCACAATTTTAATTACAATTAGAACGGGTTTTTTTTCCCGTTTATTTAAATAAATAAATTAAATTTCAAATTAAAAAAATTATTAATAAATTTTTAATTATTTTTAATAATTAATAATAATATAATAATAATAAATAATAATATATAATAATAAATAATAATATATAATAATTAATAATAATATTAATAATTTTTAATTATTATTAAATTTCAAAAATTATTTAAATTCTAATTAAATAAAAATACAAAAATTCATTTCTATATAAATTAAATAACAAAATTCTAGTTTTTTTCTTTTTTTTTTTTGGTAAATAAAACAAAATTCTTATTTTCTTCTATTTTTTCGTAAATAACAAAAAAAATCTTTCTTTTTTTCTCTAAATAAAAAAATTATTTTCTATGTCCTTTTTGTGTGTGTGTGTGTGTGTTTTTTTTTAATAGAAAAAAAATCTTGTTTTTTTTCTCTTTTTCTTTAATTTTTGTTTTAAAAACATAATTTTTATTTGAAAAATGTATAATAATAATAATAATTAATTTTTATTTTTTTTCGAAACGTAAAAGTAAATTAATTTTTTCAATTAATTAATAATAATTAATAATTAATAAATTAATTAATTTTCATTTTTTTTTCAAAATAAAAAAATGCATTGTTTATTAATTGTTCCGTTTTTTTTTTTTGTTGAAAAAAAGACGCAATTGTGGAAATAATCCACAATGTTTGACGGGATTGGGCGAGGACAAATATTTAAATTCAAATGAATCAAAAATTGATCCATTGGAGGATTCATTGAATGAAAATCTTCGCGATACATCGCAACCTGTTGGCTTGAATAATCTCGGTGCCACTTGTTACGTCAATAGTTTACTTCAAGTTTGGTTTCACAATGAGAAAATGAGGTGAGAGAAAAATTAGAATCAATTTATTTATTAATTTCTTAAAATTATTTTCCTATTTTCTATTATTTTTCTACTAGTTTTTAAATTATTATCAATATTATTTTCAACTTGTTTCAAATTATTTTCAATTATTTTCTATTAATTTTAATTTATTTATATCCATCTTCTTGGAAATTAATTAAATTAATTTTTTTTTAATTTCCTTAAAACAAAAATTGAAATAATTGGTATTAAAAATTAAAATTAATATTATTTTCTATTAATTTTTTATTTATTCTGTTTTGTTTTTCATTTTATTTAAAATATTAATTATTAATAATTTACTAATAATAATAATAAATTAATAATTAATTTTTTATTCTCCAATTATTGTATTTGTTTAGGAGAATAATTTACGAATGGAATTTGGAGGATGACGCTGAGGAATGCGCGGCAATAAAACATGCGGAAGAAACGCATGAACTTTATCGTCCCGTTACTGTTCTTGGGAATTTACAACATATTTTTGCAATGCTACAATTTGGTAATCAACGTAATGTTGATCTTGTTCATTTTTTTTATATATTGTCATTGGACACATATACACAACAAGACGCACAGGAATTTGCCAAACTTTTATTAAATCTCGTTGAGACAAAATTAAATCATGAAGCAAAGGAACGTCTTCGAAATTTAACGCAGGGTCAACAGAGTTACATTAATTGGTGAGTAAAAAATAAAAAAAAAAAAAAAAAACCCTTTTTTTATTATTTAATTTAACAAAAATTTTTTTAACTATTCTTTACTAAATTAATTATTTTTGAAATTTTTCACAAATTCAATTATCTTAAAGTATTTTTTAATTAAAATTTTTCAGGAAATTTAATTTATAATTATAATTTCAAAAAAAAAAAAAAAAAAAAAAAAAAAAAATTAGCAAATAAAATTAACAAAAAATTTTCAATTCAAAAACAACTAAAACTCAATTGTTTTCCAAATTACAATATAAAATCAATTAAAATTATTTTAAAAGATTTCAATTCACAATCAACATTATTTTTCAAAATTTCAATTGAAATTTAATTCACAAAAATTTGTTTTGTTCAAGTTTATAATTATCAAAATTTTTTTTTTTTCTATCTAAATTTCAAATTATCCGAATTTTAATTTATTTAAATTTTATTTGATTTAAGCTTAAAATTATCCGAATTTTAATTTGTTTAAATTTAAACATATATTTTAAATTTTATTTATTTTTTATTTATTTTATTTAAAGTTTTTAATTTATTTTTAATTTCAATTTAAAATTATGCGAATTTGAAATTTTTCCAAAATTTTTAATTGATTTAATTTTTTACATTTTGCAAATTTTTCATTGATTTAAATATTGAAATTATCAAAATTTTTAATTGATTTTATAATTCAAAATTTTTTCCTAATTTCAATTTTTACCCTATTTTCAATTATTCTAAATTTTAATTGAATTAAATTTAAAATTGATCTCTTTAATTTTAATTTTCCAAACTATTCAAATTTTAATTTAATTTTCCAAAAATTATTCAAATTGAAATAAATTTTAAATTATTCGAATTTCAATTATTTTTCAAATTTTTTTAATTGTTTTATATTTCAAATTATTTGAATTTGAATTTTTTTTTTTTAATTTTAATTGATTTATTTTCAAATTATTCGAACATTAATTGATTTAAGTTTCAAATTATTCGAATTTTTTAAAAGAATTAATAATAATTAATAAATTAGTTAATTTAATTATTAATTAATTAATTTTTTTTTCAGTTGTAAAACTTGCGGGACCGAGTATCCAACAACAACGACATTTTATGAATTGGATCTTCAATTGGCGCAAACATTGAAAGAATCAATTAATAAATATTTAAGCGAGGAACAATTAACCGACACAAATCAATATCATTGCGCCAAATGTAATGCAAAACAAGACGCGAGACGTTTTATTCGTTTGGATTCATTGCCAGAGGTGTTGAATATACATTTTTTAAGATTTGTTTTTAATCGGTAAGTTTTTTTTTCCATTATTATTTTATTTATACTTATTAAATTTTTTACTTTATTTTTGTTAATTATTTTGTCATTTTTGTTGAATTTTATTTTTTTAATTTAAATTTTATTCTTTTATTGTTATATTATTTTATTATTATTTTTATTTTTGTTTTATTTTGCTATTTTCGGTTTGTTTTATTCTTTGATTTTTTTTTTTATTTAACAAATTTTATTTTATTTTATTCTCTTCTTTTATTTTTTCTTTATATTCTTTTAGTTTTGTTTTAGTTATTTATTTATTTTTTTTATTTTATATTTTATTCTTTTCCTCTATTTTTCATTAATTTGGTTATTTTTATTTCATTTTTACTCTATTCTTTTATTTTTGTTTTATTTTAGTTTTATTTAAAAAAAATTTTTTTTATTTTCATTACCAATTCTATTAAAAGATAGAAAAAATAATGTGAATGAAAAATAAATAATACATTAATTATTTATTTTTTTAATCTTTTAGTTGTGTTTTATTTTGTTATTTTTATTTTATTTTCTTTAATTTTGCAATTTTTGTCTTATTTTATATTTTATTCTTTAATTTTTTTTATGTTTTATTTTTATTTTGTTATTATTATTATTATTATTATTATTATTATTTTTTTTTAAATAATTATTTGTTTTCTTGCAGATTGAGTGGCCAAAAGAAAAAAGTGAACACCGCGATTCAATTTCCGGAAAAATTGGACATGTCACAATATCTTGGTTGTCCACCAAATACACATGTTTATAATTTGGTGGCAATATTAAGTCACAGAGGAAGTTCAGCGCACTCGGGTCATTATATTGCAACAATTTGCAATTCAAATGGCGAATGGTATCAATATAATGATGCAAAAGTTGAGAAAATATCTCGCGACGAAATTAATGGTAAAGTATTTTTTTTTCTTTTCAAATTTTCATTTCGTAATCGAAAAGTAAATCGTAGTAATCGTTCAGTAAAAATTTGTATAAAAAGAAATTTTTTAATTTTATTTCGAAAAAATGAAAATTCGTCTAAAAAAAAAAATTATTTCTAATAAAAATTAATTTATAATTTGAAAATTTGCAGAATATACAAAAGCGACAAAATCGCGAGCAAAAGGTGAATATCTCTCGAATGCCGCTTATATGCTTGTTTATAAAAAATCACAACAATTGGGAATTAAAAGAAAGGGACAATGTGTGACAAATAGTCATTGTAATTTTGAAATGATGTCATTGAAAAAACAAAGAAATACAAATGGCGATATGGAACTGGTTGAGGAAATTCCTGAGACATCGTCGAATGGAAATAAAATTTTAAATGGTGCCTCTTCACATTTACAAATTAGTTTACAAGAAACGGACAAAAAATTAGAGGTATTTTTTTACTTTTTTAAATTTGCAAAAAAAAAAAAAAATTTGAAATTTTTTCTAATTTTTAACTATTTTTCAAATTTAAAATATTTTTAAATTATTTCAATTTCTCTAATTTTTAATTTTAAAAAGGTATTTTTTAATTTATATTTCCAAAATTTTGGATTATTTTCAAAACAATGAAATCTTTTTAAATTTCCGACATTTAGAAATATTGATAATTTTTTTTTTTTAATTTTTCAATATTGAAATAAATTTCAAAGAATTGCATATATTTAAAATATTTTCAAGTGTTAAAATTGTTTTTATATTTATTTATTTTTAGAATAAATTTAGAAAAATTTCTTTTTTTATTTATTTTTTTGTTTTATTCGACTAATTACAAATTGGTTTTAATTTAGAATTTTTTTATTTAATTCTAATAGTAATATTTTGAAGATTTTTTATTTTTTTTCGTTTCGTTTTAGATGGAATTTGAAGAATGGGGAGTGAGTAGAAAAATTAGAGAAATTCTCAAATTAGAAAATGTTGATTACGAATTAAAAACTCTCGATGCTCAGGAACAAAAGGTATTTATTATAATAATTATTATTATTTTTATTACTATTGAATTTTTTTTATTATGGATAAATTTTATTTTTTTTTTTATAAATAATTATAAAAAATTCAAGAAAAAAAAAAAGAAATGACAGTTTTTCTGATTTTTTTTTTCCTTCTTCTTTTATAGAGAAAAATTGTTGGCGATCACAATGTTAAACGACAATTGGTGATTGATATTTATAAAATGTTTCACAATAGAAATTCATTAGTCGAACATGTTTGGATATCAACTGAATGGCTAACAAAATGGCTTAGTTCACAATCAAATATAATACAACCAATTGATGTTACTTCGTTGCAATGTTGCCATGGAAATTTGGATCCATCGAAAGTAAATAAGGCAAAATGTATAACAAAAAATGCAGCCGATGTACTTTATCAAAATTATGGTGGCGGTGAAATTCGTCTTGATCAATTGTCACTTTGTCGGCCGTGCGTTGAACGTAAATGTACATCGTTAAGATTTAAAGTTGCATTGGAGAAGGATGGCAAGGAAGTTGGTGAATTAATACGAGCATTAAAAACAACGTGAGTTATTGAAAAATTAATTTTTGTATTTCTAATTTTTTTTTCTTTTTTCTTTTTTATAGAAAAAACAAAACAAAAAAAAACTATGTTGGTATTTTTTAGAAGTTATCAGGCCTCGAATTATATGATTTTTTCTGACTTTTTTTTTTTTTGTTTATTTTAATAAATAAAAAAAAATTTTTTAACAAATTTATTTTTTGGCATTTCTATTCAAAAATTTGGAAAATAATTGAATTTTCTTTTTTGTCTTATTTTCATTAGGATTTTTTTTACAAAAAATAGTTTTAAATAATAAATTATTATTAAAATATTGAAAAATAATTGAATTTTTTTTAAGTTTTATTGAAATTTTGAAAAATAATTAAATTTTTGGCCTTTAATTGAAATTTTGGAAAATAATTCAATTTTTATCTAAATTTCATTGAGAATTTTTTTGAGCTATTATAATTAAAATTTTGAAAAATCTGAAAGCATTTTATAGTTAAATTTGAAATTCAATTATTTTCAAAAATCTCAACTGAAAAAATTCAACGATTTTCAATAATTTCAATTTAAATCCATGAAAAATTCAATTATTTGAAAAAAATTTTTTAGTTTACTTCAACTAAAAATTAAATTCTTAAAAATTTTGATGGAAATTATTCAAAAAAAAAAGCGGACAAAAATTAAAAATTCTCAGTAGAAATTCAAAAATTAAATTATTTTTAAAAATTTTAATTATAATTTGTTGGAAACCTTCTTTTTTCTTTTTTAATCACAATAAAAATTAGTCAAAAATTTAATTATTTTCAAAAAAAAAAAAAAATTGATTATCTACCAATAATTCTATTATTTAAAAAAAAATTCAATTATTTTTCAAAATTTTAATTCAAATTGGTCAAAAAAAAATTGAAAAGAAAGAAAAATCTCAATACAAATTAGTGAAAAATTCTATTATTTTCTAAATTTCATTATTTTCCAAAAATTCTAAAAAAATTTTTCAACTTTTAAAAAATTTTTAATTGTAATTGGATAAAAATTTTCTTTATTTTAAAAATCTTAATAAAATTTAGGCAAAATATTTAATTATATATTCAAAAAATGTTTATTGGAATTTATCAAAAATTGCATTTTTTAAAAATTTTTCCTTCAATTCAGTCAATAATTCAATTTTAAAAAATATTTAATGGAATTTTATTTATTTATTTAGTAATACAAATTTTTAAATAAAAAAATACTAATAATAAAATACTAATAAAATTAGTAAAAAAAAAAATTAAATAAAAAAAGAACAAAAATTAAATTATTTTCAAAAAATTTTAAATTCAAATCAGACAAAAAATTCAATTATTTCTAAAATTTTATTTATTATCAGTCTAAAATTCCATTATTTTTATATTAATATAAATTATATTTATTTTATTAATATATATATTTAATAGAATTTTAAATTATTATTTCAAGTTTCTTTTAAAAAATTGTCTAATTAAAAAATTAATTTTTAAAATAATAACTAAATAAAGTGGAAAGAAAAAAATTCAAATGTTTGCAAAAATCGATTTCTTTTGAAAAAAAAAAATATTTCAAATTTTTATTTATCAAAATAAATTTTATTATTACAATAATATTTATTTGGAAAAAAATTAATTTGTTTGTTTGGTTTTTCCTCTTTTTCAGTGACGATTTTTGTTATATTGTCGGTGCTGAATCGTTAAAATATTGGCGAAGGCTTGCAACAGAAAAATTTAACGAAGAACTAAATGAAAAATATAATACACAATTACAATCGAATCAACATAATGGACAAGAGGAGCCAAGTATCGAGGAGGATGATGAGAATGATGTTCTTAATTTTAATGAAGATTTATTGTGCGAGCATAATTGTCTTCGTACGCCTGATTCGTCGAGAAAAATTGTTCCAAAAGAAGCGTGGGATATTTTAAGGAAATATTTTCCTGACGCGAGGGAATTTCCGATTAATGTTAATCCTTGTGATATTTGCGAGGTAAATTTTCTTTTATTTTAATTTTTCTTTTATTTATTATTATTTAATTTTAATATTATTTTAATTTTGATTTTTATTTTATTATTATTATTATTTAATTTTAATATTATTATTATTTAATTTTAATATTATTTTAACTTAATTTTTATTTTATTCGTTTTTTATTTATTAAAATACAATAATTTAAAAATATTTCAAATTTGGAATGAGAAAAAAGAAAAAAATTCAAATAGAAAACAATTTTAAGTGCTTGAATTTTTTTTTTCTAAATTATTATTATTTTTTTGTGTTTTTTTTTTTTGCAGGCGAGTTTGGAAACTGTCCAAAAATCAAAAGAGGAGGACAAAGTAAAGGCGAGAGAACAGAAGAATGCATTGAAAAATTTGTACTACGGAAAACACAGGAATGAACTTTTAAAATGCACCGATCCCACAATTACTTATTATATTGTGGAAAAGGAATTTTTGGACAATTGGCATTCATTCATTCGGTGAGTCAATTATTATTTTTTGAATTTTTTTTTTTTTTAACAAATTTTTTATCGTTTAATTAAAATATATGTGTGTATTTCTAAAAAAAAAATACAATTTAAAAAAAAAATTTAAAAAGAAATTAAAATATGTTGATATTTGCAAATAAGAATATTTTGAAAAAAATATTACAAAAAGAAATTAAAATATTTCAAAGTTTGTAAAAGAAAAATATTTGCAAATATTTTAAAAATGAAAATTCCATTTTTTTTTAATTATTCATTAAATTATTTTATTTATTTCAATATTTTTTGTTTCATAAATGAAAATTTTTTTTTTTTATATGCATAAAATAATAAAAACGAAATTTTGAAAAATAATTGTCAAAATTAGAAAAAAATATTTTTAAAAAATTGAATTTTCGAAATAAAATAATTAAAGAATTTTTTTTTTAACATAAAGGAAAATTGATATAAATAATAATAAAAACATTTTGTTGTATCAAAATTAACCTTTTTAGGATTGTTATCATCTAAATTTGAGACAATTGTGAGTTCTCAACCGCAGAAAAGGTTAAATTGCATTTCCGTTCGCGTACCAAACTGGAAATAAGACGAAACGTTATTAAGACAGGGTCTTTTCCTCGAGTCGATGTATCATTTGCTGCTAGGTCGTTAGGCGGTTTCAATTAGTTTTCCCTAGTTCCTGCCAACAGATAAAGAGAGAGAGAGAGAGAGAGAGAGAGAGAGCAAGAGAGAAAGACTTCCCAACCTTAATCGTGTGGTCCAGTTTTTTCTGACAATTAGGAAAAGCTCGTTAATGCGCGCGATATCCTCTCTCCCTTTTCTTTTTAACCTATCGCTACATTCGCTTAAGGTTTCATTATTCAACAAAAGAATAAATGAGAAATTTTAATTTTGAAATTAAAATACGAAAAAAAATTTGCTTTTATAAAGTTCTGGATATTAATTTTTATTAGTTATTAAATTTTTTATTTCACTTTTTTTGTTTTATTTTGTTTTTTTTTTTTGGGTTTAGTAATGGTTTTTTTTATTAGTTTCATTTTTTTTTTTGGGGGGGGGTGTAATTTTTGACTAATAATAAAATAAAAATAAAAACTAGGGAAAAAAACTATAAAAAAACATGAAAATTACCAATAAACCAAAAACAAACCATAAGAAAATACAAAAACTAATGGTAAACAGAAAATAAACCAAAATAATGAACCAACCAAAAAAGATTGAAAACAATGTAGGATCAAAGAAAAATTGAGAAAAAAAAATTCTATAAAGAAGTTAACAAAAATAAATCAAAATCGTTTGGAACCAAAAACAAACCAAAACTAAAATCGAAATAATTTTTTAAATAATTTTAAAATAAAGACCAATAATGTAGTCTTAATAAAAAGAATCCAAAATACTGTTATTAAAAACGGAACCAAAAATAAACCAATACTAAACCAAAAATAAATAAAATCGTACGAATCTAACTTAAAACGTTTAAAATAAAAACCAAGAAAGTTGAGTTTAAACCAAAGAAGCGCTAATAAAACTGTAATAAATAAAAGAACCTAAAATAAACCAATACTAAACCATAAACAAACCAAAAAAAAAAAAAAAACTAAAACCAAACTTAACCGTAAAATAAAAGTCAGGAAAATTAATTTAAAAAAAAAACAGAAAAAATTGTATTAAAAAACGGAACCAAAAACAATTCAAAACTAAACCAAAAATAAAATCATAGATAAACCAAAAATAATAGAAATAAAAACCCTGATAAATAGTTCATTAAAAATTTGCATATACAAAAATGGCATGAAATATTTTTTCATTAAAAAAAAAAACCAAAAAGCAAACCAAAAACAAACCAAAACTAAACTAAAAATTAAATTAAACTTATATAAACAAAAAAAAACCAAAAAATAGAAAATAAAATAAAAAATAAAAAAAACAAGAATGAAACAATTAATAAACTCAAGGGAAATAGAAAAATTGTGCAAAATATGTTTCAGAAAGATAAAAATATGTTTTTGTCTTTTGCTTCTTTTTTTTTCTCCTATATATATATAGATATAGATTTTATTAGGAGACAAAAGGAGTTTGAAAAATTAATCACTGGTTATTTCACGTACAAAAGAGAGTGTCGTCGTTAGAACAAAAGCCATTGGCTGGAAAAATATTTCACATTGCCCCGTTTAACTGTATAATAAGGACGTAAAAAAAATTACTCGATAATTTCTTGTGTGATAAAAGAAAAATAAAAAATTATTCCTTTTTTTCATCTTCCTTTAATTTTATTAAAAACTAATTTTTAAATTAAAAAAAAAACAGTAAAAAAAGTTTTAAAAAAATATTATTTTAATTTCAAAATAAATAATAACAAATAATAATAATAATTGTAGCAATAAATAATAATAATAATAATAATAATAATAATAATAATAATAGTAGTATATAAATAAAAAATATTAATAAGGAAAAAAAAATAAATTTATATATGTATAATTTTTCTAAAGAGTAAAATTAAGAATTTTCATGTCAGGATTTAAGAGTTGAACCGTTGTTAAAATTGTACGTGTGTGACATGACATTTTGTGTAATCCAAAGTAAAGGGTTGATCCTGATTTAGTCGGACGTCACGTATGGTAAACACACGAGGATTAAAGTATAAGAGATTTTTCCGTGTCAATTTACAAAAAAAAAAAAAAAAAAAAATTATACAAGTAAAGTCGCAGAGAGAAATCTTTTGCAATTCATTTCTCTCTAACCGATTAAAAAAAAAAAAAATTTCAAAAATTCACCCCAAAAAAAAAGATTTGATTTTGAATTTTTTTTAATAACTGGTAAAAACAAAGAAATTAATTTTTTTTTGACTTTTTTCAAAAATAAACCAATAGTGAACCAATAATGAACCAAAAAAAAACCAAAAAATAAATTCTGAATAAAAATTGAACCAATATTGAACCAATAGTGAACCAATACTGAACCAAAATAAAACCAAAAAATAAATTGTGAATAAAAATTGAACCAAAAGTAAACCAAAATAACTATACAAAAAGTTTTTAATTAAAAGTGACTAAAATTAGAAACAAAAAAATTAAATTGCAGCAAAAGAAACAAAAAAGAACCATAAAAATTACAAGTAAACCAAAAATGAACCAAAATAATCAAAAAAAAGAAGTAGAAGATAATAGACTATAAGAAAAGAGACAAGAAAGATTTATTTAATGTCAAAGGAACCAAAATGGAACCAAAAAAACTATGAGAAATAAAAATACAAATCAAAAATGAACCAAAAATAAACCAAAACTAAACCAAAATAATTATACAAAAAATTGTAAATTCAAAATAATTAAAAAAAGAATAAAAAAATTTATAATTTAGGTAAAGAACAAAAAAAACTGTTAATATTGGTTTTGAGTTGTTATGTTTCTTTTGGTTTGTTTTGTTCCTTTCCTATTATAAAAAACATTTTAATATCTTGTTTTATTCCTATCCAATTTACAATTTTTTTTGTTTGTGTAGTATTAGTTTTCAATTTTTGGTTTACTCTTAATTATTTTTGTCTATTTTTGGTTTGTCCTTAATTTTTATGCTTCTTTTTTGGTTCCTCTGTTAAAATATAAAATTTACTGACTTTAGTTATTTTAGTTTTATATTTAGTTTCAGTTATTTTAAATTTACAATTCATTGTGAAGTTTTTTTTTGGTTTCCTTTTGGTTCATTTTTGGTTTTTTCTTTTCATTTCTTCTAGTCTTTTTTGGTTTAATTTTGGTTTCTTTGACATTATGTAATTTTTTTGTCTCTTCGTAGTATTATTTTTTTGGAGTATTATTATTATTATTATTTATTATTATTTTTTGGATTATTTTGGTTCATTTTTGGTTTACTTGTAATTTCTATGGTTCTTTTTTACTACATAAACAATTTATTTGGTTCTAGTTTTAGTCATTTTTAATTTACAATTTTTTTCGCTGTTCACTTTTGGTTCATTTTTGGTTTTTTGATATTTCTTAGTTTTTTTTGGTTTCATTTTGGTTCCTTCGACATTACGTACATTTTTTTGGGTCTCTTATCTTGATCTTATTATTTTTCAGTTCTTTTCGAGATTATTTTGGTTCATTTTTGGTTTTCTGATATTTCTTAGTTTTTTTTGGTTTCATTTTGGTTCCTTCGACATTATGTACATTTTTTTGGGTCTCTTTTTTTGATCTTATTTCAGTTCTTTTTTTGGATTATTTTGGTACATTTTTGGTTTGTTATTTGTTAGTTATTTTTTGGTTTGTTTTTGGTTCTTTGATTATTTTTTTTTTATTTACTTTTTTATTTTTATTTTTTCTTTTAATTGACTTGGAACTTAATGAACATTTTTTTTTTCATTTTGACAATATTACAAAGTGAAACAAAATGAGACTATTATATAAGTGAGGAAGAAACTTGTTTGAAGTTGAGGAAAAAAGGAGGTGGGTATAAACTTCTTAATATTTTCTCACCTCTTTTCTTTTTGAGAAAACAAATGATCTAAAGAATGGCAATTCGTCGACGAGAAAGTCTCATGTCGAGGGCCAATCTGTCAACGTCGCTCAGATGGATTTTCGAAAGGATTAGGCATTTGCATAGGACAATCGCTCAACTTCGGTCCTTGGGCTTTTCCCTTTTATTTATCGAGAGATTCCAACAGCACACGGTTATACTTATTCCTTAAAGTAGCTCTCTCGCGAGACGCGATTATCCTCAATGCTAATCGAGATAATGGCAAACCGACACGGTTTTCGATTAAGACCAACAAAAAAAAAAAAAGAAGAAGAGGGCAATTTAATTGTAACTTCCCCTTTACTCTACCCCCATCTTTAATCTCTTTTCTTTTTTTTCCCAATATAATTAAATTTTACCAGATTTTAAAATTAGAAAATAATTTTAATATTTTTAGTGTATTATTTTCATTTGTAATAAACACTATATTTTTGGTTATAGGATTGTGGCAACTGAGAGGAGAGTTAAGAGGGGAAAAAAAGGTTTTC